GTTTCCCACAATGTGCATGTATGTGTGTCTGTGTGAGGGTATGTGCACATGAGTGAAGGTATCCTTGGAGACCACAAAGGTCAGATTTCTCTGGAGCTGGCTCTTGTGAACTGCCCAGAATGGATGCTGGGAACCATACTTAGGTCCCCTGACAGAGGCTTCTCTCCTGCCCCTATACAGATGCTTTCAACAAACTTAGCCAGAAAATGACCCAACATTTAAGGCAGCAAAGAAGACAGATACAAAAAGAAGGCAGAGACGCCATATGCTTATCCCTTCAGTTATTTGTTGGGCATCAAAGGCCTCCATGTTTTTTAGCCAAAGCAACTCCAAACCTTTGTTACAGTTAGGTTAGATGTTTGCACACAACCCAGTGAAGGTGCTAAAAAACCACTGAGCTGTATATGAAGAATAAAGCATTTCTATTGTGCGTGTGGATCATGTTACACTAACATTTTCTTCCATTTTCATCAGTAGTGTGGCTCCCACTAGCATGCACTAGGCCCTGGGTTTGATCCCTAGTATTGGAAAAAAAATTATAAACAAATAAATCTGCCCAGAGTAATAAGGCCTGGCATGAACTGCCAGAGGGTGTGACAGAACAACACTGGGTGCATGTGCACCCTACACCCCACCCCTGCCTGCCTCTCCTTCCTGTGGTCTCAGCTCTCTCTTGCCTGCTTCTTCCTAGCAATGTTTGCTCACATGGAGGCCTCTGCACTCCCTGCAGAGTCTCTTAACTGGCTCCAGCATGAACGACTTAGGGAAGGTGGGCAGCAATGTGTGGACACTGGAGTTGGTGGGGAGCAGCTCTTTCCCATTGCCTAGAAACTTAGGAAGGTCTTGGGTGAGGTGAGTCGGTTCTGTCAACTCCCCCACTTGTGTTTACTTGTGTGTGTTGTGGTTGTCACCTTGGTCCCCTGAATCCTTGGCAAAGGAGTTGTTCAACACAGGCTGGGGGGTGTTTACCTGGGGAGAATAGTTCTGGGTGTGTACAGATGGTCTCCCTCCCCAGGCCCTTTGTTTCAAGGGAAGGGAACATTAAACTTCCAAGTTGGTTCCACATACTCTGCAGCCCAGAGTGAGTTGTGTGGAGGTGGGAGTAGCTTCCAGATGTTTACTGAGCTCTGAAGATATCCCCAGGCCCAGTGTTAAGGCTTGGGGTGGGGTGGAAGATGGGGGACAGGGTTGGGGCTTGCTCCAGTTCCAAATAGACAAGTTGAGCTCCAGTTGTAGCTGCACAGCTTCTGAAGGTCCCTTGACCTCTGTGAATACCCATTGCTTTGGCTGGGAAAGAGAGCCACCTATAGCCGCTTCCATGAGGACAAGTGAGGATATGAAGCTCCCAACCCAGAAGAAATGATCAGCAAATGAGAAGCCCAGTGCTCTCTGCAGAAACCCTGTGGCTTCCCCCAAGAACAGCTCACTCTCTTCAATATTTAGATATACAGTACCCCTCCAAAGGCTAATGTGCAGAAGGCCTTGGCCCCAGCTGATGCTATTGAGAGATGGTTGGAACATCCAGGTACTAACTTCATCAGTGGCCAATGAACTGACAAGTTCATACTGAATGGGCTAGTGGGCCGGGACTACTCGGAGGAGGTGTGTTCATGGAGGAGATGCCGTTGAAGATTATATCGTGTCCCTACCCCCCCCCCCTTTCAACTTCCCGGCCTCTAGGAGATGAGCAGCTGTATGCTACTTCACATTGGATGACCTCTGTGTTGGGTCCCTTCCTTTTCTTTTCTTTTTATTTATTCTTCTCTCATGCATCATGTCCTGACGACAGCCTCCCCTCCCTCCACTCGTCCCAGTTCCTCCCCAAACCACCCCCCAGATCCACTGCTCCTCTGTTTCCCTTCAGAAAATAGCAGAGATGTCAACTGAACACGGCATGACAAGATGTAATAAGACCAGGCACAGACCTGCTTATCAAGGCTGGATGAGGCAACCCAGTAGGAGGAAAAGGGTTCCAAGAATATGCAGAAGAGTCAGAGACATGCCACTCGCTCACAAAATCCCCTGGGTAAACAGCCACAGCATGTATGCCGAGGACCCAGCACAGATCCGTGAAGGCTCCATGATTGGCGCTTCAGTCTCTGTGGACCCCGTGAGACTTGCTTAGTTGATTCAGTCGGCTGTGTTCTCCTGTGTCCTCAACCCCTCTGGCTCCTACATCTTTTACCAGTGTGAAGCTCCTGGAGTTGAGGCTGTGGAACTGTCAAGTCCCTGGATGAGTTATTTAACTTCTCCATGCCATGCCTTGATTTGCTCATCTGTAGAATATGCTAAACAATGGTACCCACCCACCTCTAGGGGGTTTCCGACGTCTAGGAGAGACACTGCTCAGAATTAAACTTGGCATGTGATATGACTTCACTAAAAGCCATCATTCTAGCTATAAACCACATGGGGGAATTAAAGTTCAAATAAATGCTAGGCCCAGTGGTACAGATGTGTGGTCTCAGCTACTTGAGACACTGAGCAGGAAGATCGCAAGTTCAAGGCTTGTCTGGGCTACAGAATGAATCCAAGGCCATCCTGCTCAATTTAGTGGGACCCTGTCTCAAAATAAGTTAAAAGAAGGCTGAGAGTAATGTAGTTCAGTGGTAAGATACCTGCATAGCCTAGTCTAAGGCCTGGGCTCACTCTCCAATACCAGAGAAAGGGGGTTGGGGGAGAATTGAATTAAAATCACAGGTCTACCGGCCACGGTGCACACACTGGTGATCAGCAAGCATTCGGCATCGGCCCTGGCTACAGTTTTATAAGCTGGATGCCGCAGTGCACACCTGTGATCCTAGTACTTGGGAGATAAATCAGAAGGTTCTTGAGTTTGAGGCCAGTCTGGGTTACACCAGGAAACAGTCTCACAACAACAACAACAAAACCTGAACTTCAGTTATTCTGTTATTTCACACAGGAGTAACTACTACTAAAAGTGTTAACTAGGGCAGGCTAGATACAGACTATGCCCACCCTCACAGGAAGTTTTCAGTTGATGGCTCATGCACAGTAAACTGCTTGGCACTTTTGTGGTCCAGTCAGAAGGGCTCAGAGTTCCTATGAAGAGCCACAGCTTCTGGAAGGACCATCATCTCTCTTCCTGATCTTCCTTCCCAGCCTCTGGGGTCCTGGGGCACCTCCCAATAGAGGGATTAGGGAGAGAACAGAGACTGGTGAGAAACAGGTGAGATTAGGAGCTAATGACAGAGCAGCTGTGGAACCCAATCTCCACGGGTCGCCAGCCTGGGGGAAGTGGGTGGTTGGAATGTGAAGTGGGGTGGGGTTGGGTGTGGAGAGTTACCTAACTGTTCCAGAGAGACATACCAGGTGCCCCAGACAGAGGGAAATGGACAAAGGTAGTCCTTTCTCCTGTGGACCCAGGTGTATCAGGACACAAGTCAGGGGCCAGCAGGCAGCATCTAGAGTGCCCCATCCACCTCCTTAAAGAACCCTGAGACAGCTCAGAAAAGAGGCCTAGGATTGCCCCCAAATTGGACATGTAGGATGCTCTAGGTTAGGGATAGTGGACCTGGGACAGTCTTCAGCAGAATGGCTTGGGCTAGCCTAGCTATGTTAACCAAGGCTAGCCCAGGATAGTTTCTGCCCATGTAAATTCTCTTGAGACAGCTTTGCTTTCTTGTTGATTGCTTTGTTCTGAGACGGGGTCTTGCTGTGTAGTCCATGCTGTCCTTGAACTCATTACCCACACCCCACCCCCACCTCTGCCTCCTGGGTGCTGAGATGATAGGCAGATGCCTGGTTGAAGGTTTTCATAGAGACAATAATTGACACGATGGGCTTCCCCTTCTCAGGGGAAGGAAATAATCCCCTAGCAATGCACAAACCCAGGCAGTCGGTCTTCGCATCCATGTAAGGAGCAGACTGGCGGCCCTCCGTTAGAAATGAGTGGCCACAGGAAACACTGTACCGGAAGTTTTAAAAGGAAATCCAGAACAGGGATAGGGCTCAGGCCCATCTGGTGGTAGAATGTGACAGAGAGCAAATGACATAGGAACTTTCTGGGCTTCCCTAAGCACCTGCTATGGATAACTCACCAGCTTCCTCACAACCAGGTGGATGCTTCTTGCTGGCCATATATTAAAACCCCCAAAAGACATCCTTGCCCCCAAGGCCATGCTCCTGCTTCTTCTGTACCCTCAACACTAATGGGAGCTGTGCATAACCAGAGGTCCCACACCTGGGGTTCTGGGTAGGCATAGGGGGAAGGTATCTGACCTTTCCCTATCTTCAGGTCTATAGGACCAGTTCCTTACAATGGATTTTAAAGACATCAGGAAAGGTCACCAGCCATCACCATGGACCTTTGAGTTCCATCTTTAGTCACAGCCAGCTTGTACTCTTTTCTCCTTTGTACAGTACCAGAAATTGAATCCAGGGCAACAGCACTGGGCAAGCATTACCCAGAACTGTATCCCATCCCACAGCCTGTCTGACTCTTGACTTAGTGTTCGCTGCAGCTGAAGGGTGTGAGCCTCTCCCAACTCTAAACTTAGTGCAGGGCTGTTCAGTAGGCTGCAGGGCCTCAGACTCCCATCCTGCAGGAGCCAGTGGGGTCTCCTTCATCAGGAGCATGAGGAGACTGAGACTTAGGGAACGTGTCTACCTCTGAGAAGTGGGGCTCATCCTCCATGGGACTCTCCTTCTCCAAGACAGTGGTCATTGGAGGCCAGAGAGCACTGAGAGGGTCTCACAGGGAAGGAAGGCCAGTCTCCCTCCTTTACAGCTGTCTCATCAAACAGAGGCCCTCTGGCACACCCTTTGAGCCTGCTGTTTCCTCCAGACCTGTCCCAGAGCCAAGCACGGGACCTCACTTAATCCCAGTTATGTAATGTCCAATCTAAAGAATTGGCCTGGAGGAGGTGCCTGAGCCACACCCAGAAGTGGGGGCAAAAGGCTCCAGCTGGGTCTGGGGAGACAGAGAAGGCTGGGCCTCTGCCTGCAGTGGTCACTGCTCTTCAGTCTCTGCCATCACCATGAGTGGCCGAGTCGGAGATCTGAGCCCCAAACAGGCAGAGACCCTGGCCAAGGTAAGAGATGCCCCTAATGTAAGGCCTCAGGAGGAAATGGCTGAGAGGTGAGGTGGAAAAGATCGCCTGGACCCTGTCTCCATCTGTTGATTCTGCATGCCCTTGACTTTGTCTCTTTGCTGTTACCTCCAAAGAGGTCACATCCTACATAGCTCAGTGACATCAGTCCTGACCAAAACAGGTGTTACATGTGGGTGACATGTGCAGAAATAGACTTGAACTTAGCCAGGAGCCAGACCCAGAGAGCTCTACCTGGAAGTTGCCCCTCACGACCTCCTCCCTCCCTGCCCCCTGGGTGGGAGCTGTCGGTCCTCTGATAGATTCTTCTTGCCTGGGACTGAAAGGAAAGCCAGTCTGTAGAATCCAGATCAGAGAGACAGGATAGAGTGTGGGTGTGCCCACAGCTGGAGGGGAAGAGGACCCTTGATCATGAACTAACTTCCTTCCTTCCTTCCTTCCTTCCCTCCTTTCTCCTTCCTTCCTTCCTTCCCTCCTTTCTTTCCTTCAGATCCACATTTTTATAAAAGATGGAAAGACGAGTGAACACACAAAGGGAACTAGGGAAACACCCACAGTCCTCTCCACTCACCCACTTACCTATCCCTCCTTCCATTCACTCGCCCGTCTCTGTCCTGTTCGCCTGCCCATCTCTCTTTCTCCCCACTTGCCTACCTATTTACAGATCCACCAGTCCATCCCTGCATTCTGCCTCTGTTCACACACTCACCATTCTTCCACTCACCCACTATGCCACCGTCAGACTGAGGGAGGGAGGGAAAGAGAGGTGATTGCTCAGTCTTGGTGTTGAGGGGCCAAGGCCCGGTGTGAGAAACATGTCAACAGGCATCTTTCTTTCCAGTTCCGAGAAAATGTCCAGGACGTGCTGCCCGCCCTGCCAAACCCTGATGATTATTTCCTTCTTCGTTGGCTCCGAGGTGAGGGAAAAGGTGGGGATGCTGGAGATGAGGGGACAGCAAGAAGGCCTGGGTCCCCACAGCTCCATAACAATCCATGGCTCTCAGGATCTGACCATCCCGTCTTGCTTCACATGCTCAGGTCTAGGAGACGGGAGGAGGAGACAGGGTCCTACTCAAACTCCCCAACACCCCCACATTGCTCTCACTAGTTAGGGGCAAGGCAACACAGCCCTGTCCCATCTTCACCTTCCCCCGATCTTTCCCAGCTCGGAACTTTGACCTGCAGAAATCTGAGGCCATGCTTCGAAAGGTAAAGCGCCACCCTGAGGCTTTGGAGACAGTATTCATTCGGGGGGGATGGGGGCGGCAATCAATGCCTCATACCCCTACTTCCATGCCCTTTTCAGGGTGCTGGGAGCCCCACAGGGCTTAAACACCCCTTTCATTTTCAGTACATGGAGTTCCGGAAGACCATGGACATTGATCACATCCTTGACTGGCAGCCCCCAGAGGTGAGCCCCCACCCGCAAACACCTCAGTCTCTGAGGACATATCACCCAAGCAGCTTCTGGTAACTGGAGACCATGAGGGAAGAACAGTAAGCAGAGATGCCCTTGGAAGGGCCTTTTCTGTAAGAGTAATGAATAATTCATGCATCAAGAACTCCAGTCTTGGCCAGGCATGGTGTCACATACCTTTAATCGAAGCACTCAGGAGGCAGAGGCAGGTGGGGAAAAAAAAAAAAAAAGTCCCAGCTATGAGTTCATTTAATCTCCTGAACACTGTGAGGCAGGTGTTATCATTACTTTCATCTAGCGAAAATCCAGCAACTTGCCCAAAGTCCTACAGTCCCATGGTGAGGCTGGAGTTTGAGCTTAGTCCTGTCTGGCCTCCAAAACTTGTATTTGAGCTGCTGTGTCCAGTCAGTCCCTTTGTGCCCCTACCCCAGAGTTTCAAAGCATCCTCTCCAGGTGGGAAAACAACAGCCTGTCAAGGGACTGGTAAGGGCAGTACCCACACTGGGGTCACAGTAACATGATGGTCACAGCTGTGGACAGTATGCCATGTTTGCCAGCATTTATTAGAGGGAAAGAATCTAACTCATCTTATGCAATAGGAGTGGGGCGGAGCTCAGAAAGGTGGCATCACTTGTTCAAGGACACGCAGCAGGGGAACAGCAGTGTCAGATCTGCTGACCTTCAGAATTGACACTCTCTACCACTAAACAAGACATGGAAGACATTGCAGGCAGGACCAATGAGCCCAAAAGCCTGAAGCCAGGCTGGGTTGGTACTGGCCTTTCATATTTACAGCTGTGAACAAGTCCCTCCCTTGAAAGACCCTTCATTTTCTCACTTGGGACAGGGTAGGTCAATGTTTTGTCCCATGGCAGCGTATACACTTGGGTCTGATAGGTTAGTCAGATCTGGGGGCCCCCAGAGAGTTGTGTGATGCCGAGTGTCATGTATCTTTCCATGCCCAGGTGATCCAGAAGTACATGCCTGGAGGCCTGTGTGGCTATGACCGTGATGGCTGCCCTGTATGGTATGACATCATCGGGCCACTGGACCCCAAAGGATTGCTTTTCTCAGTTACCAAGCAGGACCTGTTGAAGACCAAGATGAGGGACTGTGAGCGCATTCTGCATGAGTGTGACCTGCAGACAGAACGGGTGAGGTTCTGACTGGATGGGGTGAGTGACTGGAGGGAGGCAGGAGAGGCTGCCAGAGAGCCATAGACCCAAGAACACACCAGAGTTCTCTCTACTACCATGGTCAGAGGGCTCTCAGGTCAGATAGCTCCACTGCTTATCAGTTGCGTGAACTTGGAAAGTTTCTGACCTCTCACCCTTGATGGGATAGACTGCAAAGAGTAAAGAGATGATGACAATGAGGATGCTACCCAACTTATGATGGGGTTCAGTCCTAATAAACCCATTCTCAGTTTAAAATACCATTAGTTGGAGATACACCTAAAATGCCTAACCCAGTCAACATCATAGCTTAGCCTGTGCCCCAAACATATGCAGAGTACTTTCATTAAACTACAGTTAACACTGGAGGACAACATTATCCTGAATATTGATAGCCCAGAAATAAATAAAAATTCAACATTCAGACTAAGGATTTGATTGAATTTGTGTTGCTTCACACCATCATAATTTTTTTTTTAAAAAAAGCATTGAGTCCAGCTATTGTCAGTGAATGGGTGGGTGGACTGATGAAGGATAGATGGATGGATGAATGGATGGATGGACGGATGAATGAGTGATTGTTTGAGTGGGTAGGTGGATGGATGGGCAGGTGAGTGGGAAGATGTGTTCATTCTTGGCCACTTGCTACTCTGAGGACAGAGTGGAGGTCTGGAAGCATCCTGAGGGGTCATGTACTTGGGTCACCAACTCTCAAGCCTACACTTTGACCCTGGCGTTGCCTCTTCCTTATCCTCACAGCTGGGGAGGAAGATTGAAACCATTGTCATGATATTTGACTGCGAGGGTCTGGGACTGAAGCACTTTTGGAAACCTCTGGTGGAAGTGTACCAGGAGGTGAGGAGGCCATGGGTGGACACACACACACACACACACACACACACACACACACACACACACACACACCACTTCCTCTTGGGTGACAAGCTTGGTCTGCTTTGACCTTGCAGTTCACTTAGAACACAAATTAATAAAAGGTAGCTTCCTTCCTGGCCCCCATCCCTAAAGGAAACCTTAATAGACCTGCTAGAAAGTCCACAGAGCAGACTTTGATGAGCACATGGTCTGTTTCCACAGACAGTCCCAGCCCCGTCACTCCCTTGCTCTGAGCCCTGGGAAAGTCATCCACCCACACCCACAACCTACTCCCACCCCCAGCACTGTCCTTCTGTGCCCGTACGCCCACCCCCTCCCCCATCTGCCCTGCACCCCCACCATGCTTCAGGTTTCTCACCTCCAGAACTGGGACAGTAGGCCTGGGAGGCTTGATGAGTCTGTGAAGCAGACTCTCAAGTGCAGGGCACATACTGGGCATCTGACACTCATGTAGTCACACGATTTATCATCTGCTTATGTGGTTACTATGAGCATTGGTTTTAACAGTCTGAGGTGAGAAGGCTCCCTTCAGAGGCCAATGGAGGTGATACCAAAATGGAAAACTTCTCTCTTAAAACCTCCAGGCAGGAGATGGCAAAAGACAGGAAGGGGAGAAGGTATAGGCTCTGAAGGGGCTTTCTTGGTTCCACAGTTCTTTGGCCTCCTTGAAGAGAATTACCCAGAGACCCTGAAGTTCATGCTTATTGTGAAAGGTAAGTGAAAAGTGCTTTCCCCTGCCTGGGCCTCCATAGCCTTATCATCCACCCTCAGGGGCTCATCGCCTTCTCCCAGGGCTATTGGGAGGTTTGTTTGCTGACTGCATGCCAACCACTTGACTCTGGCCCAGAGGAAGGGCTCAGGAAATGGTAGCAGCTGGCTTCACTAGCTCCTCTAGAAATGCCCCTACCCCTCTCCCACCCATCATCATCTCTCCTTCCTTGGATTGCCTTTGGCTCTAAGCTGCCCAGGCAGGCCTTGAACTCACTCCATAGCCCACAAAGGCCTTGCACTTGCAATCCTCCTGCCTCAGCCTTTGGAGTGTATGAGATTACAGGCCTGCACCACCACCATGTCTATCTACTCCTATTCATTCTGGTTTTCTTTTCTTTTTTTCTTTCTTTCTTTCTTTTTCTTTTTTTGGAGGGGGTCATTTTGTTTTTGTCTGTTTGTTGAGATAGGGCTTTTCTGTGTAGCTCTGGTTGTCCTGAAACTCACTCTGTAGACCAGGCTGGCCTCAAACTCACAGAGATCCACATGCCTCTCCCTCCTGAGTTCTGGGACTGAAGGTGTGCACTTCCACCACCCGCTCACTGTGTTTTTCTGAGCAAGTTATCTGCTTTATAAAGGACTCTCAACCTATGCCTGTGGTACACGTTCCAGGCTTGGTACCATTCTGGGTGCTCACTAGCCATTTGGGTGGCTGTTCCTCAGGTAGGAGGGTAGATAGGACAGCTTATTTGGTAGTTGTTTAACTCATTGCTTGGCTAGTTGTTCAGTTGATTAGTTAGTTGGTTGTCTGACTAGCCAAGTAACTAGTGATGGGTTGGAGAGTTAACTGGGCTGGCTAAATGGTTGACTGGCTTTGAGCTTGGTTGGTTGAATGCCTGGCTAACATTTTGCTGACTGGATGTTTGGGTGGTTGTAGTGGCCACACCTTAGGGCATGGCTTCAGGTATGGCCACCATCCCAAATCTACTGGCAGAACAAGATGCTACTACATTTCCCCTTTTTGTCTAAATATTTGGGGAGTACTCACACAAGGATGGTAAATAACCACCATGGTCTTCCTGGTCCTGGAGATGCAGTCTCTGCCCTTCAGGATGCTCCGACCACAACCCAAAAGAACAAGAGCCAGCCCCTCCTCTTCCTTATAAGGGGTCAGCTCTGAACACCTGAAGCCATGTCCTAAGGTGAGGCCACCATCCCAAGTCCACTGGCGGAATAAGATGCCACTACAGGTGGCTGCCCGGTTTGTTGGCTGGCTGGCTGGCTGGCTGGTTTGTTCTTCTGCTGAATGAATTTGCTTGGTCAGCCGGTTATTTGGATCACTGGCTCTTTGTATGAATGGCTGGTAGCTGAAAGAGAGCAGTTAATTGGCTGTCTAGCTGGTTGGTCAGAGGCCAGTTGATTTTCTGTTTGACTGACTTGGTGAGTTTGACTTCAGTGAGCTGGTGAATTGGTAGATTATTTGCTAGCAGGCTGGTCAGTTTGGAAGGCTGGTTAGCTTATTGGCTGGTTGATGAGGCTGGTGACTGGCTAATTTGCAGGGTAGGTAGGTGGCTGATGTATGAATAGTTAGGTGGCTATTTCTTGGGTGAATGGGTCAGGGTCTGGGCTGGCCAAGTCCATCATGATTCTGTAGTGGGCTGTGTCCATTGTGAAAATCTGGCCCCATGACTTGATTGCTCTTTTATTCTTCTTGTGTCTTTCCAGCCACCAAACTGTTCCCTGTGGGATACAACCTCATGAAGCCATTCCTGAGTGAGGACACACGGAGGAAAATTGTGGTGCTGGGAAGTAAGTTGTTCCAGGGGCCCTGTCCCTGTGCCTCACACATAAGCTTTAGAGTGATGCTCCTTCATCCCTTCCAGCACTTAGCTTGTACCTGCAGTCACAGGCTCCTTCTTCCCCAGATGGGGCTCATCATGTAGAACCAAGTCATGTCTTAAGCCCTATTCCTTGCCTTAGCCCTCGGGTGAGTGAGGAGTAAGGCTTCCATGCCTCCAACCCCTGTGAGTTTCTGGTCCATTGCTTCTCAACCTTGGCTCTATGTGCCCTGGCTTCCTTTTGGCACTTGCATACCCAGTGCTTCTAGTGGCAACTCAGGCTGAGGAGGAAAAGCAGAGAAGGGAGTCGGACATGAAGGGTCGGGATAAATGCAGAATGATGCATCCATTCAGTGAATTCTGGGCAGCAGCAGAAGCAGTGCTGCAGGTGGATATTGCTTTTTTGTTGTTTTGTTCTTTGAGGCAGGGTATCATGTGGTTCATGCTGGCTTCAAACTCACTAAGCAGCCAAAGAGACCTTGAACTCCTGATCCCCCTCCCGCCAACTGATTACAAGAGTGCACCATCCTACCCAGAAATTCACTGCTGAATAATGACAAAAGAAATAGTGCCAAGTGGGGAAAAAAATGCAAGTAGATCAGAAAGCCATATGGTGAGCGGGGACAGCTTAGTCAGCGATGTCCTGCCTAGTAAGAGTGACAAACTAGATTCTGGCCTCAGAATTCACAGCGAAAAGAAAAACCTAAGTATGCTAGTACACACTCTGTAATCCCAGCACTGAGGATGTGCAGACAGGAAGATCCCTAGGGCTCACTGACCAGAAGCCTAGACTGATTGGTGATCCCAGGCCAATGAGATCCTCATCTCAAAAACAAACAAACAAACAAAAAACAGTGACAACAACAAAAAAGTAGATAGGCCCTGAAGAAATGCTGCCATGGGTTATCTTCTGACCTCCACGAAGGTGCACATACTACGTGCTCACATGCACACATGTGCACCTACACACAAGCCATATGAACAATATAATTTGTTTTTCTAAAACTAAGTGCACTGGGCCAGAATGATGGCTCAAATGCCACCAGGTTGATGACCTGAGTGTCACCCAGAACCCACACAATAGAAGGAGAAAACTGACTCCCACAGGTTATCCACTGACCCCCACATGTGTGCTGTGATATGTGACCCCTCCACACACAAAATAAATAAAAGTAATTTTAAAAATAATAAAACAAATATATTCAAAACAAACATTTTTAGAAGGAAATACAAATAGAATAGATCATGTTTTTAAAGGTATTGTTTGTATTTTCCTGTTTTCTCAATTTTGCCTATTACTATAAGTAAGAAAAACAACTCACTTTTTATTTAATTTTTTTTTGTTTTGTTTTTTGAGACAGTGTGGCCTCAAACTCACCATCCTTCTGCCTCAGTCTCATTAGTGATGAGACTACTATTGTATGCCATCGCCCTGACAAGAGTTGTTTTTAAAAGTGGCAGAAGTTGGATGTGGGTGTAGCTCAGCCACCAAGCATTTGCCCAGCACATGAGAGGTCCTGAGGGTCATCCATGGCACAGTAAAATAAGTAGATAATAGATAGGTAGGTAGGTAGATAGGTAAATACGATAAAAGGAAGAAGACAGATTCTTAAGCACAAACCAGTGAGCCTGAGCTTGGAGGAAAACCTCCTCCCTAGCAGAATGTTCATATCATCTAACTATGTGAACTGAGGATGTAAAAATGGGGGTGGGAGTCTTATGTTCCTCGATTTCTCTTTCTTCCCAAAACCCCAGCTCCTACCTTTACCCAACTTCATTATGATGAATGACAAGATAGCCTGGTTGTAAGGAGGTGCCAAATTCTGGCTCAATATGAACCCAAGTGTATGCTCTCTACTCTGCTTGGTGCCCCACAAGGCTCAGTACATTTGGCCCTAGTATTTCAGGCATTGTGATATTTCCCATTTTCCACTGGAGAGAAGGAATATTCCATGGCCATAAGGATAAATTTAGATTAGCCACAGGGATAGGACCACAGCAAGACCCAGAACCCCTAGAGGATCAAATATGAATAACAGTAATGGGCCTTTTATCTGATGGTTGTGGTAATCAAAGGGACAGGTCTCTCAAGATCTGACTTACTGAGTAATCTCAACAAGGTTCTGAACTCACAGAGCTTTAAAATCTCCTTGAGACAATGAAACAGCTATCAGCTTTACTACTCATGACTGGGAGACCTTCAAGAATGTCCAAGCCCATCAGCCAAGGGCCAACATGTTTCCATAGCAATTGGATGCTAGGAAAATCATTTCATATAGCCTGAGGTCTAGGAGACTTGAAAGTTATTCCTGGCAGCCTAACACCCACAGAGGTTGGGGACACAGCTTCAGGGTACCATGGAGGATGTGTGTGTGGGGGTGCTGTTTGGTTCCTTCCACATGTGATAATCACCATTTGACCTCCCTACTCCCAGACAGCTGGAAGGAAGGTTTGCTGAAACTCATCAGTCCTGAGGAACTGCCTGCTCATTTTGGGGGAACTCTGACTGACCCAGATGGGAACCCCAAATGTTTGACCAAGGTACACAGAGCCCGAGGACAGGAAGGGGTTGGAGGAGTAGAGAGGGGTTCCTTTCCCACCCCCTATCCATTCCACAAACATATCCAGATAGACCCCTGGGTATAGAGACCAGGCATTGGGTCCAGCTTATTAGGATCTCCTGAGAAAATACACAGGCAAAGGTGAAATGAAGGTTTCATTTGGAAATAAGCTGGAAGAAGAAGCTTCCAAGGGAAGTGCTGGCCCAGCCTAGAGAGCCAGAAAATGGTTTTGGGAAGGGAAGCAGAAATCTTCCTGGTGATAATAAGTGACCCCCAAATCAATTATAGATCAACTATGGTGGGGAGATCCCTAAGTCCATGTATGTGCGGGACCAGGTGAAGACTCAGTATGAGCACTCGGTGCAGATTAGCCGTGGCTCCTCACACCAGGTGGAATATGAGATCCTGTTTCCAGGCTGTGTTCTCAGGTAAGGGGGACAGACCATCACTCCTCCCCTGGCTGGGCTCTGACCCTTCAGGGACCCATCACACTGAGCAGCAACCTGACCTCTCACAGGTGGCAGTTCTCCTCTGATGGTGCAGACATTGGCTTTGGAGTTTTCCTCAAGACCAAGATGGGGGAGAGGCAGAAAGCCGGGGAGATGACTGAGGTGCTAACCAGCCAGCGCTACAATGCCCACATGGTACCTGAGGATGGGAGTCTCACCTGCTCAGAGGCTGGTGTCTGTAAGTCCACCATAGCTGTACATGGGCTCTGAAGACAGGAGCCATCTTCTGCATGGTTTAAAGGATGAACACGGGCAGTGGCCCCTTTCCCCAGACACAAACCAGGACAAATAGTCCAGGTTAGAGCCTTCATTCATTCTCAAGCCATATTCATGAACACCTAGTGTGCACCAAGGGTCAGAGACACATGAATCCCGAGGACTGAGAGTGCTTGGGACACAGGACACAAGTAAAGGACACTAGAGCAGGGTTCCCCCCTTCCCCAAGGAGGCTGGGAGAAGTAAGCCAACTTTTGCACAGCCTCACAGCCAAATGCCATGTTATCTCAGCTTTGTATCAGCCTCAGTGTAAAATACTGCCCAACCTGGGAAGGATTGTTTGTTGGGTCCCCCATGGTCTGAGGATTAAGACAATTACTTCAGGCTTTACCTGGCCCCCACTTTGTCCAAGAGAGCTGGGGAGCCTCTGTTGCTCTCAATTTCTGTCTCATCATGCGAGCATGCAGATGTGAAGACAATGGAATGTAATTAACACCTGTTGTCCTCACTGTCTGATGACGCCACTAAAGCCAGGCTTGGGTAAATGCCAGGAGGAGGCAGTGTCAGTTTACAGGCTCTGCTCAGGGTGACAGATCCCACAGGGAGGTAAGAGGCACAGTGGGAAGTTGCACCAGTTTGGCAAGCACAGCTAGTAGGAACTAATCTTCCATTTGTCTCCTAGATGTCCTGCGCTTTGACAACACCTATAGCTTCGTCCATGCCAAGAAGGTCAGCTTCACGGTTGAAGTGCTTCTCCCAGACGAAGGCATGCAGAAATACGATGAGGAGCTCACCCCTGTCTAGGCAGATCCCCCACCTCCCAGAGACCCCAAACCTCTGTTTTCTCTCTACTGTCCCTTCCATTCCTAAAATTGATCATTAGTCCAGCTGACTGTGTGACACCAGTGAACAGAAAAGGAGAGACTGGAGAAGATGTATCTGCTGCAATCAAATTTTAAAAGCATGAAAGATGTTGGAGGATATAAAGGTTGCGAAAGAGAAAGAAGCAAGAAGGAAGATGAGAGATGGATGTCACTGAGGTCCAAGGATAGGGAAATGATTGGTTGACCTTATTGGTCCTAAGACATTTGTGCTTGACTCCCTCTCTGTGAGCAACTGAATCCTTTTTACTTCCACTCACTACACAGTCGATGCTTAGTGTATTCCTGTAAGTTAAACAGAGGACCTGAAGGCAGGGAGCAGGTGACTCACGGAAGTCATAAGGAAGAGAACACACAGTAGATTTCAGCACCCCGGATAGAGACACACTTGGCGATGACCCAGGTCATGCAACCTGACAGTGGTTTCCTTTTGGGAGTTTCAGACACAAAAGCTCCCTGCCTCTGGCAAAAGGAGCCTATTCAGGGTCACGGGTCCCACCCATTATTCTTATAAACACCTTCTTCCTTTTGAGCTCACATTTTAAACAATTAAAATAATTTTCCCCAACGCAAAGGCAGTCACATCCTACTCTGGCTGCTACTGGGCAAAGCAATAACAACAGCTGCTGTTTGGAGAGGATTATCACTGTTCCAAATACTTTACAAGTTTAACTCATGCCATCTTCACACTACCCCAATACACCTTATTAAATCCACTTTATGAATGAATAAACTGGGCTCAGAGAGGCTAAACTAGACACTCATGTCATATAGTTTTAAGCGGCAGATCTAGGAACTGAGTTTTTTGTTTCTCATTTAGTCAGAAGGCATTGATCTAAATTGCCCCATGATACCCCCCCCCAAAGAACCTGCTTTTACAAGGAGGTAAGGAATGGTTTGATTGTCCTGCATCCTTTAGAAGAGTGTACTGGGTATCTCTACCTCTCCAGTCCCTTTTAATAGATGGAAGAGGTAATCACTCCAAGTAATTAAGAGCCCCCGTACTTAAGTAAGTTGTTCAAGGAGCCTCATAGAGGGCTGGAAGGGGCTTTTACTCCTGTGCCTGGTGTTCTGCCCTCTGCGCATGCTGTGACTGTAGGGAAGACCAACTGATGCTCACCACACCCCTGGGAACTAGGACCAGGCTTCCAGTTTCTTTCTCCACTTCCTGCCCCTGTCCCTGGCTCCTGACACAACTCTTGCCAAGACATGATTAGTCCAGAGAATGAGAATGAGCCAGAACTCAAGGGCCCTGCTGGTGCCATGAGCTGAAGCTTGGGAATGAGCTAAAAGCTGAATGTGAAGTCTGACTCTCACCAAGTTAATGTTATTCTGTGGAAGGGAGCAGAGTCATGCACACACTTAAGGGCACAGGCTCTTATGCCCATCTTATAGTTGGGAATTGTCTTAGGGTTTCTATTGTTGTGATGAAACACCATGACCAAAAGCAACTTGGGGAGGAAAGTGTTTATTTCACTCACAGTTCCACATAACAGTTCATCATCAAAAGCGAGGAGAGCAGGAATTATGCAAGACAGGAACCTGGAGGCAGGAGCTGATGCAGAGGCCATGGATATGTGCTGCTTACTGGCTTGCTTCCCATGGCTTACTCAGCCTGCTTTCTTATAGAACTCAGGACCACCAGCCCAGGGATAGCACCACCCACAGCGATCTGGGCCCTCCCCTATTGATTACTAATTGAGAAAATGCCTTACAGCCTCAGTTGAGGCTTCCTCCTCTCAGATGACTCTAGCTTGTGTCATGTTGACATAGAACTAGCCAAGACAGGAACTGAGCTTCCAACAGTACTGAATCCATATTTTTCAGGCCGTGGATGATAGAATTGGACCAGAGCCAAGGTACCCACTTTGCTTTATGATCTCCAGGCTCCTGAATGACTTTCCAAACAGGCTAAGATTGCTAAGACAGTAACTGGAATCACAAAAGAGGGCAGGAAAGGTGAGGAAGAGAAAGAGAACAAAAGGGTGGTTTGGGGTGGTACTTAAAATGTATTCACTATCTAACATTAAAGTCTAACTGAACATCCCATATCTTTTCAAAATATTTACTTGTTCCTTGGTAATTTTGCACATAAATACAATGTGTTTAGACCATATTCACTCCTCCTTCTCCCATTCCAACTCCTCCCAGAATCCCCGACATACATGTTTTCTCAACTTCATGTCTTCTTGTTTTTCTAACCACTGAGTCCATTTAATACCACCCATATGCCCAATGCTCATGGATATAGAGCTCCAGTCACTGTAGCACAGGCAACTGCCATGGTCACACTGTCGAAGAAGATAAACTCTTCCAGAGGCCGCCAACTATCAATAGCTCTTCAGCTTAGTGGCAGGCCTCAGGGGCCCCGTCCCTTTATATACTGGAGTATTGCCTGATTTGATCATGTGCTGGCAACCACAGCTACTCTGAGTTTCAGTGTGTTGACCCTATCATACCCAGAAGACATCATTTCACTCTTTCCTAGCCTCTGGCTCTTAAAAACTTTCTGTGCCCTTTTCTGCACCTTGCAGTGTATGGAGTGACACAGATGTCCCATTCAGGGCTTGAGTACTCCACAGTCACTTACTCTCTGCACTTTGATCTGTACTAACCACCATGTGCTGTGTAAAGGGTTTCTCTGATGCAGGTGAGAGATGCACATGGGTAAAAGTTAAGTATTTAAAAGGTATTGTGAGCTGGGCGTTGGTGACACATGCCTTTAATCCCAGCACTAGGAAGGCAGAGGCAGGCGAATCTCTGTGAGTTCGAGGCCAGCCTGGTCTCTAAAGTGCCAGGATAGGCTCCAAAGCTACACAGAGAAACCCAGTCTCAGAAAACAAAACAAAACTAAAAACAAACAAACAAAAAGGTATTGTGAGATATTTTGTTAGCAAAATAATAGCAGTAGGTTCTATGACCTCTCCAGCCACGGATTCTTGGCCAGGTTTATAGTATGAGGCATGAGTGTCCTCCTGCAGAATAGACCTTAATTTCAATTAGAACACCATTGGTTACCCCAATAAGATCCATGCCATTATTGCATCAGTGGGCATATCTTTCTAGGCTGGTCATTATTGTAGTTTACAGGGTTCACAGCTGGGTAAGAGTCTTCATGACTTTTCTCCCCCATCAGCCTGCACAGCACCTCCCGGCTCTGTGACATCTAGACATTAGGGAAGATGTTTTCAGGTCATTACCAGCTTGTTTTATCTATGACCTGTGATCAAAGTGTGTGGTGTCTTCAGTAGTTGAAGTCTTACCTAAGGCCTGGGTAACCAAGAGTGATGGCAATAGTCTTATCGTTGAGGGCGTGGGGGTGGGAGGTGTCTGTGGACCCCACATCAACACCATGACAAAAGGTATCCCACATCTGGTATTGGATTTTGTTGAATTATCTGCAGCTTCTGGGAGGAACATTTTGTGTAAGGTACTGTTAATGAAACTTTTAAAATAGATGTATTTTTATGGAGTTTGTAAAACAGTAGTTTTCATACAGCTTTTCCTTTTTTACTTTTTAAAAAGATTTTATTTATTTATTACATATACAACATTCTACTTCCATGAATATCTGCACACCAGTACAGGGCACCAGGTCTTATAGATGGTTGTGAGCCACCATGTGGTTGCTGGGAATTGAACTCAGGACCTCTAGAAGAGCAGTCGGTACTCTTAACCTCTGAGCCATCTCTCCAGCCCCAGCTTTTCCTTTTTTTATATTGCTTTTTTCAAACATCCTTCTCTCTACAGCATCCTGTATTTTTACCTGGCTAGTCTATAATAAAAGAACGAGGGAAAGAAGTGTGAGGGGGGGCTAGAGAGATGACTCAGAGGTCGAGAGCACTTCCTGATTTCCCAGAAAACCCAGAGCTTGGCTCCCAGCTCACAAACACCTGTTACTTTAGCTCCAGGGGATCCACCACCCTCTTCTGGACTCTATCAGCATTGCGCCTATGTACTCACAAGTAAAGGTATTTGTTAAAAAGAAGTGAGAAGGATAAAGGGAATTGAGGCGAGAGGATGGAAGAAAGAAGGAATAAGTTCACCCAAAGAATACAGTGTGGCTGAGACATGAAGATAGCAAGTCTGAAGCCAGTCTGGGCTACATAGTAAGTCCCAGGCCATCCTGGACTACATGGCAAAATCCTACAAGAGCTTTAACCACATGAAGTGCTGGGGCTCTGGAGCCACTAGGAACATTTCACTAAATGTTACCAATGACCCAGTTTGACCAATCAACAAGGACATGTTGAGGCATGCTGGCCCATGGTGGAGATTTTGAGTGCTCCCTAAAACTAGCCAGGGCTTGCCTGGGGACCAAACTGCCAGGATGTTCCAGGACAAAAGCCATAAGGCCTGGGGACTGACTGGCCCAGACTTACTCACTGTAGCTTCCTGTTATCACTCTCGCCAGAAGTTGCCTGGGGTCCACCATAGGCCCTGCTAGCCTCCTTTTGGGTGGACCTTACCCTCTTCCTGCTGTACTAACTCCTTTGGGCATAGTCTATGGGAGCTTCAAGGAGCCCAGTAGACTACCCTGAATCAAACAAAGGTCCTGCCATGAGAAGAACTTAAGAGTCTTGCAGAGAGAGCTGGGTGGTGGTGGCACACACCTTTAATCACAGCACTTGGCAGGCAGAGGCAGGTGGATCTCTGTGAGTTGAAGGCCACCCTGGTCTACAGAGCACACTCCAGGACAGCCAAGACTACACAGATAAACCCATCTCAAAAAAAAAAAAAAAAAAAAGTCTTGGAGAGAGTGGTCACCAAGCTCTCACCAAGCAACTCCTGGGATAAGGGAAGAGCTTGTTTGCCATACTGTGTCTTCTAGACTGTTAGGTGATTCCCCAACCAATCTTTGGCAGCAAATACCTCAAAAATGCTGAGATGGGAGAAAGGATCTGAGGTAGACCTTATCTTTTTTCCTTGGCTCTGCTTGAAGCTACAAGTCAGGTGCCATCAAGACCCTGGCCTGGGTCCCCACAGCCTAGTTCTACCAGGGAGGCAACCTCATTGTAGGGAAGCAATCTATACCCAAGTCTGGATTATCAGGGGCCTTTGGAGTCCCATGACGGCTGGTAAGGCAGGAGAAGGGCTCTGGAAGCCAAAGCAAGCTATGTTTTAAACTTATTTTCTCCTTTTCACTCTGTAGACCAGGCTGGCCTTGAAATCAGAGATCCATTTGCCTCTGCCTCCCGTGTTCTGGAATTGAAGGCTTGAGCCACCATGCCTGGCTCAAGATTTTAAACCCAAGAGTTTGGAAGACATGCAATTTTTTGGTCCTCCTTACACTCAAGGAGAGTAACCAAGTGCTGACCACTATTCTGTTAGGAAATGCTTGTCTTTACTGCCTGCCTGGGATATCTATTGTTCTGTTTAACCCTCATTATAATCCTCTCCTTAAAGTCCTCTGCAGCAACCACAGGTAGAGCCACTTCATAGATGAAGAAATTGAGACTTTAGGTCACATAGGTTGAAACCCAGTAGAGTCATCCCTTAGTAGCCACAGAGGATTGGCTTCAGGACAATGCCACCACTATGTTATTAAAATTGGAGGACACTCAAGTCCCTTATATAAAGTGGCATTCCGATAGCTTGAATGTGAAGTGTCCCCCACAGGCTCACGTTTGAATGCTTGTTCCCTAGGCAGGGCCTGTCTAGCATCCATCTTTGAAAGTTAAGCCTGAGTCCTGCTTCCTGCCCCACATTTTCTCTGCTTTTCGATCCGCTGTGGTGTGAGCAGGCTTTCACATTCCCACAGCCTCCCCTGCCATGATAGGCTAAAACCCTCTGGAACCACAAGCTAAATAAACCTTCCCTTTCTTCTGTTGTTTCCACCTGCTGTTATGGTCACACCAATGCAGAAGCAACCAATCAGGTATGACACAATCACGCAGCCTGGGTGTATATCCACGGACTTTCCATCATCATCTCCTGATTACTGATCACACCAAATACAAAGAGTGGCCATTCCTCGACGCAGGAGCAGGCTCCATGAGGTCTTTTCCAGACCATTGTAGTACCAGAGAACCATGTTCTCAGAGACCCAAGGAGGAACAGACCTGCCTCACCAAGCTTCTAGAAGCTTCTAGAAGTCACTAAAGGTCAGAGTTCCTCAGGCTGCAACTGTGGGAGGTGACTGCTATGATTCTTATGCACATTTTCCAGTTATTCCTCTCACCAGGTGCATGAAGTCTGTTCTAAGTTCGCAAGTCCTCAGGAAAGGAGGTTGGGCAGGACAAAGGAGGGGGCTTCATCTTTACAGCCATGGGGAAGCCATTGTCCATGCTGGGTGCAGGCATGGGTGTGGCAGCTTTAGGGTCACTCATGCTCTGTAAGTCAGCCTAATGAGTTCATTGGTTCTCCAGGGTGAACCTTGGTGGAAACAAACTTTGGTTTGTCACTGGGATCTTGTGAGGTAAGTAGATGTTACCTAGTGTCCCCCATCCCCCAACCCCCAGCAAAGGTGACTTTTCAGGACATAGTTATTATAGTTAATCCTTCCTGTTCCTAATTTATAAATTAAACTTGATCACAGACATGCAAGTGCCAGGTAAGACACAGCACAGAGGGGCTGATGGCATCTGTGGTTTGAGGCACCCTTCAAAGGAAGCGCTCTGGCAGTCACCTATGAAGTATGACACTGTTCCCAGCTGTGTTCAAGGGCTTCACTGGTGGGGTGGGGGATTTAAAGAGGGCATAATGGGTGAATTTTCACCATGGAAATGAACAATAGAGGCTTTCTATCCTAAAGAAGCCAGTGGTTAAACATTGACCAGCAACATACTACTCTGGCCTTCCCCCAACCCAGGAGGAAGGTAGACGGCATGACTCTCGTTTCCAGATCTAAATTCTAAGGATCAGAGAAGGCAACTGACCTAGCAGAGGTCTCACAGCATAAACAGTCACAAGTGAGACTCAGACATGCTCTTCCATCCATTTTCCTTAAAGTTTCATTGCACTGTTATAGCTTAATAAAAGTCCATTTTACTGCGTTTTTATTATCCATTCATCTATTGGTGGGCTGGTTCCATTTTCTCGATGCTGTGAATAGAGTGGCAATGAACACGGATGTGCACGTGCCTCTGAGTGTGCAGAGTTCTCTGGGCATAAGCCCAAGAGTGACATGGCTGGGTCATGCAGTCATTCTGATTTTTATTTTTTGAGGAGCCTCCATACTGGCTTCCATAATGACTACACTAGTTTGCATTCACCAGCATCAAATATGGGTTCTTCTTCCTCCACATCTTCTCCAAGATTTTCCAGTCACTTCTTACAAGGTCTATAGGCCAGTCCAGACCCTTCCTCCACATCTTCTCCAAGATTTTCCAGTCACTTCTTACAAGGTCTAGAACACAGTCCAGACACCCTGCCACAGACCAACTACCTTTCAACACAAAACACCCTCCCATTTCTCCCCATCTAAACCTCCGCTTCAGATCCTACCCCCCCCCCCTTTTTGGTTTCTTGGATCTGATATTCCTCTTGGATAGGCTCTCCCTACACCCCTTCCTGTAGATCCAGGAAAACAGCCCACTTTTCCCTTAGTTTACCTGCTCCATAAGAAGGGTTTATTGGGCTAACACTTAGGTGTGTGCTTGTCCTGCCTCCCAACCAGGCCCCAGACGCTCCCACAGCAGGGATGGGCTGGCTAGAGGCTCTGCCCTGAGTGTCCCAAATGCTGCACCTCTGTGCTCTTCCCTAAGTCACTCAGCCACATTACCACAAAGTGACTTAGGGCGGCCGAACAGCCTGGTCCTTGGCTTGTCACATGATCTTAGGAGTACCTCTTGCCCTCTCTGGGCTTCAGTGTCCTCCTCCATAGGAAGGTTTTACTTTTTTCCATCAGAGGATAGGCCCAGAGGCTGAGAGGTACTTCAGTGGTTAGGAACGCTGGCTGCTCTTGCAGAGAAACCAGGTTCAGCTCAGTTTTCAGCACCCCACACGGTGGCTCACACCATCCCTAATTCCAGTTTCAGGGATTCCAGTGACATCTTTAAACCTCTAAGGGTGGTGCACAAACATATATACATGCAGGTAAAACACTTATGCACATAAAATAAAATACTTAAAATTTTTTTCAAAAAACATGGCTAGCCAGCGTCCACTCCCACTCAGCACAACCACTGCCATTAATGCAGACAGGGTTGAGTCCCACTTCTGGGACTCCCTGCAACCACCACTCCTCAAGGCCTTTGTCACTAAGCGTCCATCAGTTTGAACCCACTCAGATGCCAGTGTCACGGATCCCAAACAGCCAAACATCTACATTCTCTGATATGAGCAGGCCGGCCATGGGCAGGGCACAGGACAGGGTCAGGAGGAGCTGGGCTTCCCCACTGATGGGTACAGTTTACGAAGGCTGGAATCCAGGAGGAAGTCTACTGACCTACAGGGAGAGAAGGCGTGGTGAATAGGTAGCCAAGGGTGAGGAAAACACTAGACTACTGGGAAAGACTCCTAGATACAGGGTACTAACAGCAAACAGGTTGGAACCCATTTTATAATTCTCTACCTACTTGGGAAAGTCAAACTTAACCCCTGAGAATAACAGCCATCTTCTTTCTTTCTACAGTTGGGTAAACTAAGGCACAGTGGCTAAAGCACTCACTGTGAGGCTCAGGATTAGTTATGCACACACACCTCCAGAGACCCCTCCTCATACTATACATTAGTCTATTTTGATTGATACTTACCTCTAGTTCTTTTTTTAAAAATTTTTTAAAAATGTATTTCTGTATTTTTTATGTATGTATCCTATTTGCCTGTATCATATATACCTGTATGTATCATATATGCCTGCAGGCCAGAAGAGGGCACCAGATCTCATTACAGATGGTTGAGAGCCGCCATGTGGTTGCTGAGAATTGAACTCAGGACCTCTGGAAGAGCAGCCAGCACTCTTAACTGCTGAGCCATCTCTCCAACCCAGTCCTACCTCTTAGTTCTAAGAGCAAGCACATGACCCAGGGTTGACTAACCAGGACGACAGTGGCTCAGACATGGGTACCCTGTCTGAATAGACCAATGAAAATCTTCCTTGGGACTTTTGCTATCACGATGGAGATGATGGGGGTTAAGTTGTTAGGAGGGATGTTGTGAATCACTGAGGGACATGGCAGGAGAGTGAATGAGACCAACAAGGAGAAAAGCTGAAGGATAGGGAGCTCTCTGCCAGCATCACTCTGATGCCTGGACCCAGCCATGCCTGAACACATCCCTCCCAAACTGAGTTTGAAGCATGTCACTACTACATCTCCCAAGTTCACCATCCAGACACCTGACTGCCCCTGGCTATTTCACACCAGTCTTTCCTTCTGGAAACTTACTTGTCCTTTGTCCAGTACCCTCAAGGCTCTCTACTTCTGCCAGGTCATAGGACAAGGGTATACAGATGCTCTCTCTACTTCAGCCTTGCCTCTGCTGCTGTGGTTCTGTGCCCACAGCTCTCAAAGCCCAACTCTACCTGCAGAATGACTGGTCCATGAGGCCAGAAGGGCACCTACCTGTCAATGGGGTGGACGATGACGGGGATGGCCAGCAGCCCAAGTGTGGTGGTGGTCCATTTGCGGACAGTCAGGGGCCAGCGGGTCATAGTACGCAGGCCATAGAGGGAGGCAGCACACAGACGGTTAATAGTGAAGCCTGGGATGGCTACGGAGGCCAGAGACTGCCACACGAAGGTGTCTACCACAGCCAGGGCCACTCTGGTGCTGCGGCCTTCTTCAGGGCTTGGCTCCTGGTAGGTACAAAGACATTTAGCTGGAGCAGAAGCAGGAAACCTGTAGATCTATCCCACTGCAGGGAGTGTCTGAAAATTGCCTTGTACACCCAAGCCCTTCTCCTAGGCGTGGATCCTGCAGATAGTTGTGTTTTCTCCGAGCATGAGGGTGGACCAGGGAGGAGGGAAGAGCAAGAGGGGTGCAGCAGGGCAGAAGGAAGCTGGGAGGACGACTCTGGGCTGTACTACATTCAGGGTTGGGGGGTTGACTTGTCAACATCCAGAAGTACCGAATGTCACTTCCAACCCATGTGGGTTGGTCGGTGCGAGGATGAACTAACTATTCTACAAACGGGATTAGTTTATGGACTTCACGATGCTAATTCGGATAGTGCTGTCCTACAATCAAGGCTGCACACTGATCCACACCAGGATGGGGTTGGAAGGGTAAACTAGCACTCACCTCTCCTGCCTTCTTGCCTTTGTCTATGGCATCAGCCAGCACGTAGGAGCTCGACACGCCATAGCTCAGCCACACCACAGCTGTAGGCACCAAGGAGCGGAAAGCCTCCCCCACTTCATTAGCATAGCCTGGAGGGAAAGGGCATTTTGTTATCTGGCCCGCGGGCTGTTCCACAAGGGGGCGCTTCTGATCCTAGACTGCTAAACTACAGTGGGGCAGGTGACCTCAGTCAAGTGACTTTACCTTTGATTTCTGAGCTGTGGACTGACGCCAACAATGAAGTTCATGGCTCATTAATCAGAGTCCCCAGCTGTGGCTCTGGGGATCTGCACCAATGAGGCAACCGGGTAGCCAACGAATGACTGAGCGTGGGCTTCCCTGATACTTAGTAAGTATCAAAGCCTTCCAGGGCCTTACATCAGTCCGCTCTTAAATCTCCCTTCAAGAGTGCCTCGTGTTCAGCCCTTTTTGCAGAAGAGGAAACCGGGGCTCAGGAAGAACCAGGTAATGGCAGGCGGTAGGAATTTAGATCCTCTAAGCCCACGGCTAGTGCGCGGTCATGGCACATGGCAACCCACCCACTCGGCTTGCGCCTCCAGCAGAGCCCAATGAACAGAGTGTTGTGTGACCTTGGACAAGTCCCGAGCCCTCTCCTGAGCCCAGTCTCCTGCCAAAGCCGAGTAAGAACTAAACCCTTTCCTTTAGACTCCAGATCCACATGCCACAGCCACTTTCCCAGAGTGGTGGGGTCGCTGCGGATCTCACTCCAACGCTCACCCAGGTAGCGCACCCATGTGTCCCGGTAGAGGTCGCACTCGGCGCCCTGCCGCGGCTGTTCGGACATGACTTCCCCAGGACGGTCCGAGTCACTGCAAGTTAGAGCCTCACGACCACTTCCGTTCCCGCTAGCACTCCGCTTACACTGGGCAAGGACCCGCCAGAAGTCCGAGGCGAAGGACAGGTCGATCTATCGCCACTGCAGGGAGTGTCTGAAAATTGCCTTGTACACCCAAGCCCTTCTCCTAGGCGTGGATCTTGCAGATAGTTGTGTTTTCTCCGAGCAGTAAATGCAAAGCTCTCCCAGGCATAGTTAGTTTTGGGAACTAACCAGGCCAGGGTTTCAATCAGGATGGTATCTTCTCAGGTGTGCGACGTATAGCAAAGCTGTATTTCTCTGAGCCTGAGTTCGTGTGTAAATGGGAGGCATGCCAGCATTCACTACCTTAAACACAAGGACTAATTATAGCAGTCATCATGCATTCGGTCGACTCGGATTTGCTTTCTTAAGCTCCTGAACTAGCATCAGGTCCTATTTTACAGAGGGGAAATAGAGAGGATGGTCATGCTCCTGACTCACAACTGTTAGGTGAATCCTGGCTAGGTGTTTTCAGATCCCATGCTCTGATTCTGTAACGGGGGCAGTGTGAGTCGATGGTGAATGCTCTAGAGAGGTGGGAGCCCAGACCCTCAGTCCCTCCTCTGCAGCGCCACCTTTATCTTTGATATACTCTGAGGGCTAACTGGATCTTCCTGGGGGCCAGAAGTCAAATGAATGAACAATTTAATGAGAAGTCAAGGTCTGGCAAACAAAACTCCAGGGAAATGAGCAGAATAAAAAGGAGAGAGTTTGGGGAGTTAGTTATTATGAGGTGAAGCCTTCCCCTGCAGGGGAAAAAGCACTCTGGGATATCAGAGGGGCAATGGTGTGGCCCCTGGAGACAAATCTTACTTGTGTCACCTTGTAGATGTCAGCCACCTCCTCTCCAAATCCCAGTGCCCACGTCAGCAAGACAAAATAGGTGGTGCTGAAGAGGTCGTTCAGTGGCTAACAGCGCTTACACCTCTTCCAGAGGACTCATGATTCCCAGCTCCTGCAGAGGTGGCTCAGTCACCTGTAACTCCACCTTCAGGGGATCTGACACTTCTAACCTCCACAGGCATCCACACACGTGTGGTTGTGGTATACACTCATATACAGACCCACACATACACGTAGATACCAATAAAATTTGTCTAAAATCTTCAAAAGTCAGGCATGGTAGCAAATGCTTTTAATCCCAAAATTTAGGAGGCAGAAACAGGCAGCATTACATGAGTTCAAGGCCAGACTGTCGACATAGGGATAGGGAGTTCCAGGCCTGGCCAGGGCTACATGGTAAAATAAAAACTAAAAAAATTTTTTACAACAATTCCAGGTGGTTAAGAAGAGGGTTTCTGAGGTTTTTTTTTTAACCAGTGACTAAAGATCCGAAAGGTTGACTTCCTATGAAGGACACGGCTTTCAGCCTGTGTCCTCATAGGCTCTTGAGGGTCAGTGGGGCCAGGGCCAGGCACGGGTGCAGAAGGCCCTGAAACACCGTAGTGCTGGAGTGGAATTAGGAGACAGTCCCTAAAACCACGTGACGCTAGTCCCCAGCCTCCCTCCCAGTAATACCCGTTGCAGACGCACCACACGCTCGCCCGCGCCCGCTGCGGGTTGTCGCGGACGAACCACCCGGCAAGGTCTGGAATCACCGAATAGGGCGGGGTCTCCGCCCTCACCGTGAAGGCTGTCGGGAGCATCTTCATGCCATGAACAAAGATGGTGGACGACACTCACCGGCTGAACCAATCACAAGACAGGACATCGGGGAAAGTTCACGCGAGAGGAGAGGAACAGACCGCCTATGTCTGTGTGTTATTTCAGCAGGAGTCTGTTACTTGGCTTCTGAGAAGGTCAAGTTTGGACCTAAAATGACAGGCTGCTAGGAAACCGGCGATGGGCAGTAAATTCTACTCCCTTTGCTCTGAAAATTGCTTTATTCATTAGTTAATGTACTTAACATCATTGTAAACCAAGGCCAGGACATGCTCCTGAGATGTGCGACTAGATCCTGAGTAGCCTCGACCCTCCGGTCGCTAGCCCTGCCCTGCCGAGAGCTCCCTGTGCTTGGTGAGACAAGTCCTCAGGCTGGGCCGGGGTCTCTTTCCAAGGAGAAGGGGGGACTCCGGAAGGGCCTGGGGCCGCGTTCCGGAACTCTGGGCAGTCCGTAACCTGGCGTTTGCTCGCAAGTTGTGTAGGGTCAAGAGCTGCTATTGCAAGGCCTCCTGTGGTCGCCCCTTCCCCTGGCTCAGATGCTTGTCTGGCCTATGGCCACTTTCCCGGGCAGCCTCCCTCCCTGGCTACCTGCATTCACAGGCAAGGGGAACCCACTGCTGCCGTTGCACGCCTCCACAGAGAAGGCCTGCCAAGCCCTCAAGTCATTCAGGAGACTCAGACTGGGAAATGCCCTCTGTCTTACTCCCACTTCTCATTTTTGTGTAGGGTTGATCAAGTGGAGGCTTGCTTAGAGGCCTCCTTGGCCCTTTCAGATCTGTGATCCCCGAAGGTAATTACCCTTGTGCTTTTGGAAAGTTTCTCTTTTTCACTGGACAACAGTGGCTAGGTAGCAAAGTTTCACAAAACTCTGAGTCACTGGCAACCATTAGTAATTAAACAGGCAGCCAGTGGGGCCTAGGAGTTGGTGATGTTCTCAAGGGGAGAGAGAGGCCCTCCTCTTGCCTTCCAGTGCTGACTTGGGCCACCCGAGACTTGAGGGGTCGGGGTGGAGGGGGTGGATACTCCAGCCTTTTACAAAAAGTTTGGAAGAGCTCTGGATTCCCATCACCTGCCTAGCAGCCTGCTCCCTTGCAACCATCATTACGACCATGGAGGTTTGTTCCATGTTCATTTAGGAGCAAGTGTCTCCCAGCAGCTGGCTTCCCTGAGTGTGACATCTCATTTTCTTCTAATTTCTTCCCTGCTGCCATCCTGTGTACCCTTCTGCTCCCTGTCTCAGCTGTCACCGGACAGGTGAAGTTGGCAAGTCTCCAGGGTAGATATCATTACAGCCAGTCTCTAGAGACCCCTTAGTAGTCTGATGAAAAGGGCCCACTCTAGCCATTTGTCCTCTTTGGATTCTGGACGGGAGTCTCCTGTCCAGTTTGAAGTCTTCCCTCCAGCTCAGTTTCTTCAGGCTACTGGGTTGTGGGAGAGTGACTACTACAAAGAAACTGCCAGGAAGACACTGAGAGGGGGCAGGCTTGCTACAGGAGGAGCTGTTATTTGGGGGTGACTGCCCCCTGCTGATTCATCTTCTCCTCTGCTGCTTTGTCTGGAAGCAGGACCTCCACAGTGAAACTGACTTTCTTGGCATGGATGAAGCTGTAAGTGTTGTCAAACCGCAGGACATCTGGGGGAGCAGAGAAGGAAACATTCAGACAGTTCCCACCAGGAGGTGAGGGATGGTGAACAGGACTGGCTTTTACTGTCTGAGCAAGATGGTGTGGTAGGAGATGGAGATGAAAGTAGTGTAAGTCATACGTCTTGGCCTTCTGAAACTCAGTCCCACTGGGTTGACAATGTGTTCAAAAAATGTATGACACAGCACAGGCCTAATGAGATTAGTGGCAGAGACACATCCGTAACAGCTTGGAAGAAAAAGGCCTTTAAGACCAAAACTCGTGGCTTCTTTAGACCTGGCAGAATAATGTTAGCAGCCCCAGTGGTTGGGATGATGATGTCTGTGTGTGAAAGCATGTGGGTTTGTAGTCATGTGTGATCACATTCTTCCTCACAACAACTCTGAATTCAGCAGTAGTCCTACTTGGCAACAGCTAACAGGGTTTTATGTCACACAGTGAGGCAGTGATGGGATTGGGCTTTCCTTCTGGTTTGCATTCCTGCCCATAGTCCTGCCTGATTTGGACCCTGGGAAGCCCAGCCCATTTCATTCCTCTGCAAAATTTATGAACCAGGTGCTTACCCTTTGGGAAGATTAATGGGGCAAGGGGTACTCACAGCATGCCTGCCCATAATAATAATAAAAGGATGGGCTGTTCATCAAAGGAGAAGTACCCAAGCAATTTGTGTTGTAATCTGGATACTAGAGCACCGTTCTGATATTAAAAAGAAAGCGCTTAGCTGGGCATGGTGGTGCACACCTGTAATCCCAACACTTAAGAAGGAAGGAAGTTCAAGACCAGCCTTGGCTGTATAGTGTTTGAGTCCAGGCTGAGCTACATAGACCAAGAGCAGGGGATTGGGGAAATGTCCAAGATACATTCAGAAGCCAAAATAAACTGCAAAACAATTTGTAACATTTTTGTTAATTTATGTGTAAAAATAATTTTTGGGGGGCTTCTTTATTTGTCTCTACTTAGAGCTTCTCTGGTGGTAGCAGACACTAGGAATGACACTGTTCTGAAGGGAAGGTTTTCTCACATCCTGTGGTGAGTTTCACACTGTCAGACTTTCTTCAAACATACACCGAGTAACAGGCATGCTCCTGGCCAATGTGACTGCAAGTACTTGCCAGGCTTGTTATAGAAATGCGCCTCTAAAGGGATGGATGGTGTTTGGTAGGCTGGCCGGTGAGAGGCTGTTGGCTATGGTTTCCTCTAGGAAGGAACATGGACACAGTTGGCAGGGATGGCTTCTAAGCCTTGGCAACTGAACAGGCTTGCTTTCACTCTAACCCTGTTTCTTTGCAAGCTTGTTCCGTGTCACTCAAATGCCTCTTTGAGACAGCCAAGTGTGAACACAGAAGCACCAGCATCACCCTTCTGCATAGCTCCTCTCTCATTTTCTTGGTGTCTTTCCCTTTTCTCACCCTGGATAAACTGCATTCAGCCTGCAGTCTCCACAGTGCCTACTTTCTTCATGGCATGAAGTGTCAGTCATCTGTTTCCCGTCCCTACCAGAGGTCCTGCAGATCCCACACTCCTCCCTTCCTCTCGGCAACCAGAGTTCATTGTACTTTGATCTCCTTAGACAAGGATTGAGATACTTTGCTCTGCAAAATATCTGCCCTTGAGCACAAGGAAGAGCTTTGTAGAAGGCACAGGGGAGTGCAGTCACTGCAGCTCTAGGCTGCATGGCTCAGTATGACACTACATGTATTCACAGGCTCATGGAGTCCCTAGTGGCCCTCCAGTCTAGGGCTTCTCAACATGTGTTGGGTAACTGGCCCCTTTGAGAACCGTAAGGTATCAGGGGCAGTCTCCCAAAGAGAGATGTGCTGTTCTTTAGGGAAGCAGGGGAGTAAGTGTCATTTTGCCCTCCTATGTATGTAGTGAAATGTATAAATTCTAGGTCTGGGGCATGGGGTTAGAGCACTTGCCTAGCATGCAGGAGGCCCTGGGTTGAATCCTTGGTGCTTCATAATAATTATACTCAAATTGACTTCCTTTTGTTTCTCTTTTACATCACAGATAGAGTTTATTGATTTTACAATTATATGTATAGGTGGGTTACATTATCTGTGAGTAATGGGAACAATAGACATTTATAAAAGTGAAATGTTGGTTCTTAGATTCAGAACCACTTCTCTGGGGAGTCCATGGGCCCCAGAAGTAAACCTGTTCTAGCCTACTTCCCTCATTCTATGGTGAGGGAAGACCAAGTCTATTCTTTAGAGATGCTTGCTGGGAACACTCTGGGAGAGGTGGTGGCAAAGCTAGACGTTCTCAGCAAGCAGGCATCGGTGCCTAGCAGGCCTTTTCTCCCAGCAAGCACTGTCTGGCCTCTTCCTACAGTAGTTCAGATCTTCCTATGCACAGTGAGTCCTCCTGCTCAAAGTGCATTTCACTCTTTTCTTCATTCTTTCCATCCCTAGTTGAGCATTCCACACAGTAGGCTCTCAGAAAGTAATTGGGAGAAGGTGAAATCCACCCAAATGCTGGCCTCTCCTCGCTAGTACACCTGAACAAGGGCCAGAGAAGCCTAGGGAAGGCTGTGTTCCTACCATTTGAAGCCATGTACCCAACAGTTTAATTCTCTACAGGGTGATCATGCTCCACTTTGCAGGGGTCACTTTGTCCTCAGAGGCACTGCTCTCCCACAGGTGAACCTTAACCCTTAGATCTCTGGGCTCTGTTTTCAGCATCCCTGCCTCCTTATGACATTTGGCTCTACCTCACTGCCTTACCATCTGGGAAGAGAAATTTTATCCCATGGCCCGACTCTGCTTCTCCAGAAAATAGGCAGATCCCAGGCAGGTAAGGGTTTTGTGGGGACAGATCCAGGAAGACTAAAGCAGATGGAGGATTTGCAGTCCACATCCTGGTTGTATTAAAAGGCTGTTTATCCTTCAGATAAACAGTGTTGGGGCCCTCTTGCTACCTCTGTGGCCTTTGTGGAAATACTTCCTTGATCTGGGACTCTTGTCACAATGAGGATAAAGGTCTTTTTTATCTCTCTATCTTCTCTCAAGCAGCCTGTGACTAGGAACCTCTAGTATCCTCTCTTGGCATTAACACTAGCTACTTGATGGGAGAGAGAACATCTTTTGCCTATGCCTCAGCTTCCTCATCATCTAAAGAAAAGTCTACCTTATAAGTATAAAGTGCTTTCTCCTTTGTAGATGGCAATGCCTGGGCTGTGCTAAGCCTTGTTCTTGGTGCAGCACAGAGTATGCTTGCCCCTGCGACTTGGCTGCTCACTAACAAGAATGACCCTGTTCTTTAGGGAGCCAGATTGTACCTGTGTGTCCATAGGGAGGGAGCTCCAGCACTGTAGTTTGCTGGACAGCCAGGAAGAAGCAGGTATCTGTGGGGCTAGGGCTAGTGCCTCAGTGGTGCTGCCTCCACGTGGAGCCCAGGGATTCTCCCTTCTTACCCCACAGTCTCTGGGGACAGCCCTGCTCTTGTAGTTGCCCTAATAATAGTAATAATGATGGCTGCTGGTCCTGAGTCGAATGCTCTATCTCTGGCATCACACCCATCGCCTCATAGATCTCATCACCTGTGATCTGGCATCTCTGTAAGATTCCAGTTGCGGCAATCAGGAAACATACTTAGGAAGGCTGGGTCCTTTGCCCAAGATCACACATAGAGCTAGTGGTCAAGTCCCACTCAGATCTGAGCATAATGTCCTTGCTTGTCACTTTTTTAACCCTCATTGGCTTTGTCAGAAAGAAAACTAAAAATTGCCTGGCTTGTGTGTAGCTAGCATGTGTTGGGGCTTTTCCACTATACCATATAACCCTGTAAAATATAATTGCAGAAAGAGGAAAATGAAAGCCCTCTGTAAACCCTATTACCCTCAAGTTAATATGGATTTCCCAGAATTCCTTTCTGTTTACACATTTTCCCTATATATATATATATATCTATATCTATATATATATCTATATTTTATATCTATATCTCTCTCTCTCTCTCTCTCTCTCTATATATATATATATATATATATATATATATATATATATATCTTGATCACCTCTGATATATATATATCACACATGCTGTGTTTCATGTTTATCTCCCTGACATGAATTAACATCTTAACTGTCAGGGTGTTCTCTTTAATGACTACATGGTGTTTGTTGTATGGATGGACCTTATGGCCATGTGCTGTGTTGCTGGCTTTATGGGTTGCTAGGAACTTCTTGGTCCCCTAGCTTCATGTGTTTGTAAAGGTTTCTGTAGGACACATTTCAGAAGTAGGGTTCTGGGTCTAAAGGGTTTTTAACCAATACCAAATGAGCTGTAAGTGCTTTTGTCATGTGTAAGCTGCCTTCTCCTTCTGTTCTTTAGTCATCCTGGAGATGAGTGGTGCTCAGGCTGGCCTCAACCTGCAGCCCTGCCTCAGCCTCCTAAGTGCTGGAATTACAGGTGAGCTCCACCATGCCCAGCCCCCAAAAGCAGGTATTCTGAACCCCCATACTCACCTGTTACAGTAATCACCTCTACTTGGGAATATCAGGGGAGAGTCCCACCCTGTTGTTAACTATCTGGCCCCCCCTTAAGTCACTGTATCTTTCCAAATCTAGTTTTCTTCCTCTGGGTCAGGAGAGGTGACCTCATAGAATGCCCCTTCCTATTCTGACACTGAGGTGACCAGTACACTGAGGAAGAGGTGTGTCATAAGCAGAAAGTTGATGGATTTCACGAGTTTCCAAGACCCAGATACTTACAGATGCCTGGCTCACTGCAGGTGAGGGTCCCATCCTCAGGGACCATGTGGGAATTGTATCTCTGGCTGGGCAGCACCTCTGTCATCTCCCCTGCTCGCTGCCGTTCCCCAATCTTGGTCTTCAGGAAAATTCCAAAACCCACGTCTGATCCCTCCGACATAAACTGCCACCTGCAGAGGACATCCACCTGTGTGTGTGTGTGTGTGTGTGTGTGTGTGTGTGTGTGTATGTATGTATGTGTGTGTGTGTGTGTCCATGGCAATGGGGTTTCTGCCACCATCCCACCCACTGGAACTGACAAATCTCAGGTCCCTGGAAGCACCCAGTCCTACCTGAGGACACAACCTGGGAAAAGGATCTCATACTCCACTTGGTGGGAGGAGGCTCGGGAAATCTGCACACTGTGCTCATATTGCTGCTTCACCTGGTCTCGCACGTAATATTGCTTGGGGATGTCACCCCCATAGTTGATCTAGAAGCAGAGCACAGGGTGAGTTGGGGTGCCCATCTGAGCAAAGACTCTCCCCATTGACCTTCACCTGGTGGCCCATACCTTGGATTTACATTTGGGGTTTCCATCAGGGTCGGTCATAGTGCCTCCATACTCCACAGGCAACTGTTCAGGGCTGATATGTTTGAGTAAAACCTCCTTCCAGTTTGCTGGCAGGAGAGGGAAGGACAGAAAGGTATCATTAGACAGGACTCATACCTGGTGATTAGCCCTGAAGAGTCAGAAAAGGCTGCCCCTGCCTTAAAAGGGAGCATTATAGGCTGGGCATGGTACATACTTGTGCACTCAAAGGACTGCAGGCAGGAGAACCGTTAGTTTGAAGCCAGTGTTGGCTACATAGTGAGGCTGGGTTGGGATGAAGTACTTCACAAGCATGCAGAAACAGTACCACACAGAGTTAGAAAGAGCTATTACCCAGAGCTCGCCTGGTCCAGGATTTAGAAACCCTGGGCTGCTGTCATAGTAACTGACCAGCTCAGCAACCTTAGGGACCCACTTCATCCTGAACTGCCTGCTGTCGGGATTGTGGAGGCAGCAAAATGAATTAAGGATGCATGAGAGGACTTTGTAAACTAGTATATTAACACTCCTAGGAAAGGATACAAACATTAAAATAAAAGCTGGATGGGGACATTGGGAACAAAAGCGGGAAGTGGGGCACAGACGGACAGACGACTGTTTCATGCAGAAGAGCTTCCAGCAGGACGGGAAAAGTCTTAAATCACAGGTTCTTATCCAGTTGGGCTGAACTCCCATCTTCTACACTGACTGAATGAGCACCCCACTGAAGAGTAACCCCTCAAATTGGGCTTATTTGGCTTTACCCAGCCAACTTCACTTCTATTCTTGTTTTGGGCTGGTTGACTGTTTTTTGTTTTTGTTGGGGGGGGGGTTCGAGACATGGTTTCTCTGTATTGCTTTGGAGCCTGTCCTGGCACTCTGTAGACCAGGCTGGCCTTGAACTCACAGAGATCCACCTACCTCTGCCTCCTGTGTGCTGGGATTAAAGGCCTGTGCCACCAACACCCTACTTGTTTGTTTTGGTTTTTTCTAATCAAGTCCTCTCCTTATTGGAGTGATTAATTCTTGAGTGTCTGGTGCCGATAATCATTTCCCCAAGAAATATCAACCTGGTGCAATTAATGCCAGAAACCACACTGACTACCTAGACCATCTCTAGCCAGCAGCTCCAGGCCAGGGACCAGCCTAGTATCCTTTGCACAGATGACTGGAGCACTGACCATCCTGTGTCTGCCAACCCTCAGGTGTTTAAGGACTCCAAACCATGTGACTCCTAGAACACAGTGCCTGTGGCCTTGGGGTGATCTCATTGGCACTGCTAAATTCCAGTGACCAACCTGGAGTAACTTTGATCCCTCCTCTGTTGGAGATCTTGTTTCTCCCCAGTCTGCCCAAGGCACATTTGGTTGAAAGAATTTTAAGTGTGGGTAGGATAACAGACGGAACCTCCTACATAACTCTGCTGCCAGGAAACCAAACTGCCTCACGCACTTGGTGGGTGGTAGCAGCAGAAAAACCAAAAACCAAAAAACTTATTGCTCTGATTTTGTTATTTCTTCTCCCAGCTGAGCTGGAGAGCTGGGAGAAAATCAAGAGAGATCTTCCCATCCTATACAGAGTGGCGTCGGCCACTGCCAAAGCTGGGACTTCACTGCAGAAGTCCTGATGTCCTTTTGTTTGAAATAGGGTCTCACTGTGTAACCCTGGCCAGCCTAGAATTCCCTGTGTAGTTTCAGCTTTCTTCTGCCTCCCTAGCCCTGAGGTATCTTAAATGCATTTTTGTTCTTTTAATATTTTATTGCTATTATATGTGTGTATGATATATGTGTGCTGGAATGATGCATGTATGGGAGCTAAAGAACACTTTTGGGGGTTGTTTCCCTCCCTCCACTGTGGGATTAGGGATCAAGCTCAGGTCATCAGCCTTGTATAACAAGGATATGTTTTACCTGTGGAGCCAGCCCACATTGTCGTTTTAAGACAGGGTCTTAATATATAACCTGGGTTGGCCTTGAACTTAGAATGTAGCCGAGACAGACCTGGAACTGAAGATCCATGACCTACAAAGTGCTGGGAAAATAGACATTCACCATCTTCCCAGTCCAAAGTTACTACTCTCACTTTGTCTTAGCCCAGAGGTAAAGAAGCAAATCAAAATTGCCCCTCGCAATGTATTATTTAAAGGCAGTTCTGTAGATCTTTGGAATCACTATTACTACTGCCAGTTCAACTCTAGAGCCTGTCCCAGTCCACCTATCTCCAGTAGGCCTGCTCCTGTGTGTCCTCCTGGCTGGTCTGGGGTCACTGGCACTCTCCCCATTCCATATCCAACCCTTCCTTCTCTGCCACCCTCATTCATCCCCTCTCACCATCCCCAGTGGGCTCCTGTTATTCCACCTGCACTTGAACATGGATATCCCCCCAGGTTCACTTTGGGCTCCTAGATAGCATAGCACACAAACTGGTATCTGGCTTTTATGGACTTTTGCTGGTAGGTACGAGTCCTTTGAAAATCTGACCATGGGCTGGTGTTGGTGGCACACGCCTTTAATCCCTGTAGAGGCAGGTGGATCTCTGAGTTCAAGGCCAGCCTGGTCTACAGAGTGCCAGGACAGGCTCCAAAGCAATACAGAGAAACCATGTCTCAAAAAAAAAAACCAAAAGAAAAAAAAAGTCTGACCATGGCACTCCCCTGCCAAGCACTTCTCTGGTTCCCAGTGGCCTGAAGAGTCATGCCCCAGCCTCTCAACATGGTGTTCTGGTTTCTGTGTGACCTGGCTCCTGGCTCCTTCTGCAGCCTCATCCTTTGCTGTACTCTGCCTCATAGTCCCAAGGGAGGCGTTTACTCAGAGCTCCTCTTTCTGCTTTGTTCCATGTGCTCAACTTGCTCTTGTTGCTGTATGTAGCTTAGGTGGACATGGCTCTCCCCTCAACTCTGGTGGCATGGGTATTGCTGCTAGGTGTGACTGTAAACTGTGGTTTCCCTTTCTTCCATGTATCATATCACAGCCAATAAACTCTGTCCCCCCCCCCCCCCCCCGCCCCGAGAGCCAGCCAAGGGACTCTGTCTTAATAATCCTGGTAGCCTGGCACCTAATCCTGGATCCGGCACAGAAAAGGTGTTTGTGGGAGTGGAGCCACTCACTCCTACTTGCCCCCAAATAATCTGTATGCACCCTATTCATGTTCTTTCTAGTGCCGTCTGGTTCACACCATAGCCTTTTCTCTGCAGTTGTCTCTCCCCTGAAATACTGTAAGCCCCTTAAGGATAAGCACTGGAATTCCATTCATCTTTGAATTTGCATGGTGAGCCCAGTGTTTGCTTCTAGAGTGTGTGAGGAAAGGTGTCGTTGTGAAAACATAGGAAGCCACAGATCTGTCTCCACTTGCCCCTGTGTCCCAACTACTCCCAAAGTAGAAGCTAGGCCTTTTCCCTGGAGGCTGTAACCATACCCCTAAAAAGCCAGACCCAATCTGAACCACACCCCAACGTGTAACATTTGGGCCACTTACCCCCCAAGACCATAATCTTCTTACGAGTGTCCTCACTTAGGAAGGGCTTGATGAGGTTATAGGCCACAGGAAACAACTTGGGAGCTGGAAGAGAGGCAAGACCACGTGAAGCAGAGAGCAAGGGTAACTCAGGTGCTGACGGTGTCATCTACCTCTCACCTAAGCTTGAGGCTCAGCCAGGCATGTCTGAAATCTAGCTCCCAGTGTGTACAAGGGTTGTGGCCAACCTGTCTCCTCCTATGGGATCACCAACCTGAATCCTACTGGGCCAGGTGGCTCAAATGCTCTGGGAACTTTCACGCTTCTGTACATGTCAAGGTCAAGGTCAGGCTTCTGAACAGGACCTTGGCCTCTCCTCTGCCTCACTGTTCACTCAGTCTGTCCCCAAGTAATGGTTTCAGCCTCTTATTCTCATTTGGCTTCATCACCAGAAATTCCAATCTTACCTTTCACAACAAACAGACGCTTCAGTGTTTCGGGATAATTTTCTTCAAACATGGAGAGAAACTGTGGAAGCAAAATTGATCTAGTTTCAGTAGCTCAGTGCCCTTCATCTTGCGTGTAGCCTAACTATGCAGTCCTTTCCGCCCCCACTCCCTGCCTCTTACCTCTCCATAGGCCTCCACTGCAGGTTTCCAGAGGTGCTTTAGACCGAGTCCCTCACAGTCATAAATCATGGTGATAGTCTCTATCTTCTTCCCTAGCTACAGGGGACAGACAGACAGTGGAAGCTGTATCACTGCCCTGCTATAGAACTCACAGAACTCAGGGCCCGTGCACACAGAGCAGGCAGCAGAGAGCCGGGTTAGGCCCAAGACTTCTCAGATGCAGATGTCACCTAAGGTGGAATTGTGACCTAGACAAACTGTTCTCATCTAGAAAATGACTAGAGTGGATCAAGATCACATCTGAGGTCCCCACTGTCCTGCAGGTTCTCCTGATGGCTTCTGTCTTCCTGTCAATTAGTGTATGTTCCCTGGGCAGCATCCATATGGCACCTGGGCCCAAACTACCTACCATTCTACCTAAGCTCTAAAGAAGCATCAGGTTGAACCCCTTTGTGTCACCAGCCTCTCAGAGGTTCTGTACTGAGTGGGCTTTTTGTGAACATCTGCAAAGAACAGTGCCGAGATATCTGCAACTGCTGGAGAAGAAGGCAAGGAATGGTTCCAGCTTGGTCCTCAGTCCTTTTTAAAAAAATAAAATCTTGCCAGGGGGTGGTGGTGCACGCTTTTAATCCCAGCACTTGGGAGGCAGAGGCAGGTGGATCTCCGTGAATTTGAGACCAGCCTGGTCTACAAGAGCTAGTTCCAAGACAGCCTCCAAAGCCACAGAGAAACCCTGTTTCAAACTGCCCGTGTGTGTGTGTGTGTGTGTGTGTGTGTGTGTGTGTGTGATGTACATGCCACAATGGGAATATGCAGCTCCAAAGATAACTTGAAGAAGTTGCTTCTCATCTTCCACCATGTAGGTTCTCAGGCTTTCTGGTAAGTCCATTTACCTGCTGATCCATCTATCCATCTATCCAGCCCCTCAGTCTTTTTCTTAGTAAGGAATGGTGCCCTGATGCCTTGAAAATAAACTTGGAGAAGCAAGGATTTTGGGTTTGTCTACATCAGGACTACCACACCCCCATAGCCACCCAAGGGTAGTTCAATCCAAGACCAGATCTCACTGGTCCCCACAGAAACAAGAGAAGTAGTAACAGTGTAGTGAGGTGACTTCCTTTGTCTTTCTGTTTTTTTGTGGTGCTGAGAAATAACCCTAGGCCCTTGCATGTGCTAAATGAGCTGCCTGTCACTGAGCAATATCTCCAGCTGTAGTAATTTATAGTTTCTTGTTTTCTTTTGTTTGTTTTTAGGGTCTTACTATATAGCCCAGGCTAGTTTCAAATTCAAGATCCCCTCCTGCCTCAGACTTGTGAATCGTGGAATTACAGGTGTATACCACTCAACTCCCTACAATGCTTTTTTTTTTTTTTTTTTTGCTGTATTTGGGTGGAAGCCCTGGGTGTGCAGATTGAGCACTGTACCAGCTGAGCTGCAGCCCTCACCCTTGTGAAATTTTAATTAACCCGATGTTTTCAGTGTAAAGGACTGCTTTTTAGTCTCAGAACTTTCCTATATATACCATTCCTATAGTTTGGGGGATTCATTATGGCAATGATAGAGGTTATTTCAAGCTTTTACTTAGCAAAATGCAAGTGTGACATGATAGCCCACCCACCTTTGTGGTCTGGTGGGCACACTCCTGCAGAAGCAGCTCACAGTCCCTCATCTTGGTCCTGAGTAGGTCCTGCTTGGAGGCGGAGAATAGCAGACCTTTGGCATCCAGAGGCCCAATGATGTCGTACCACACAGGGCAGCCATCCAGGTCATAGCCACACCTGCCGCCTGACAGATATTGTTGGATCACCTGGACAAAGATATAGTAAAAACATCTTGTGGATGAGTCCATCCCTTCCCCTGGTTCACAAGTCTCTCCCTTCGAATCCTCCCTTGGGTGCCAAGAAGTACTATGATGTCTCCTTTGGCATTGTCAGACCTGTCATCTGAGACTCCCAGTTGAGTAGCCCAGGGTACAGACTGTGAGTCTGATGAGCATCTTTACACAGGGATGGAGTAAGCTACTTTGTCCTCACCTCTGGTGGCTGCCAGCTGATGATGTTGTCAATGTCCTTTTGCTTCCGGAATTCCACATGCTGCAAATACAAAAAGATTTAGGAAGCACAGGGTGGAAGAACAGGTGTGTGGTGGTGGTGGGGTCATGAATAGGAATGAATAGGTGATCACCACAGGTGACCCCTTGAAGGAACTGGACAGGAGTGGAAAAGGAGACCCTAGTTTCTTAAGATAACTCAGCAAGAGTGCCATTCTTGCTGATCAGGAAGTAGGAAAGCCCAATGTTTCCAGGGAAGGAAATACACTTTGTCCCTCAGGAATAAAGCAACAATTGTTGGCTAATGTCTGTGTCACACAAACCAAAACCTATGATAGGGGTGGGTGACAGGTAGGCAGGAGAAGTCTAGGCAAAAATATGACTCTGGTGGGAAAAATTGTAGCAGCAGTAGAAACTCACCTTCCGGAGCATGGCCTCTGATTTCTGCAGGTCAAAGCTTCGGGCTGTAACAAAAGCATGATCAGGGTTGGGCATCAGACTGCATGTCTAAGGACCTGTTCCCAGGCTGCAGCCAAGTACCCTTGTGGGTTTCCCCAGCCAAATGTCAGATTTGTAAAATACCACAGCCCCGGGTTTGTAGGGTAGACGGGTCAAGTTCAAAGCATTTGGGAGTGGACAGCATTGCAATCTTGGGGTCAGAGTATCTTGGTTGATAAATCAGGTAAAGGGTCTTATCTCAGAGAAAATGAACCCTGGATCTTTTTATCAACTGGCCGTCCCCCACAAGGACAAAATTTATCTCCTCCACAGTATAACATCCAGCCATGAGAAATTGACCCACAGTTCAAAGATGAGCATAGCTGCCCAGGAGCTGGGCAGAGCTGGTCAAACATCCTTCTGAGATGGAGGAGTCAGCATGCCTCTCGCCAAACCTGACATTTCTCTAAAAGACCCACATATTTCTTAAAAAGCACAGTGGGTTCTAAGTCGGTTTATCTGGACCCTCCCCGATGAGTTGTCCTGCTCAAATCTGAGCCCAAGATTTCACTGTCCTCGGAGGCCACTTGCAGACAACCAGAGCTGCCATCAGCACTAATTTGTCGTAAGCTGCAGTCTACTCCAGAGGCACTCCAAAAACAGGGTTGTTTCCCCATCATTAACTGTCCTCCCAAAACATGAATTCTGTGCTGCCTATCTGGGCCTCCCTCCTATTGTGCTGCCTGCCCTTAGAGCCTCCATTTCTCACACTCAGCTCCACAACCATCCTAATCACTTCCCTGGTCAGGGCCCCTCCTAGGGGAACATCACAAATGAGCCCAGGTGTTGTTTGCCCCTTCTCCAATAAGTCCTAAGAATTCTCTTGGCAACAGTCACACCTTTAGTTCAGTTAGAGCTTAGAGTCAACTGAAACCCCAAATCCTTCACACCTGTGCGATGGCTAAGCCTCCAATCCCTCCATAGAGAGAAGGGTAGGCCCTTTACTGTATCCCTCTCACATTTCACCACTGGAGTCTACTTTATTCCATCAAATGAAGAGTTACTGACATCCTGAAGGGTTTGGCCTCTGACCTATAAACTATCTCTCCTGGCTGTACATCCTCCAAGGATTTAATTGACATCTAGATCAGCTGATAGCCCTGGAACTTAGCATACAGACTGCCCTTTGGGCTGTCAGCAGTGCCTTCATCATTGCTCTCTGGGAGCAGGGGAGCATACTCCCTGACTCTGCATTCATGGAGTCCAGTCCTCCATCTGAGTCAGGATGATTTGTCTAAAGTTCTGGGTGTGGTGCCTTGGTAACCAAGCCTGGACATGGTTCCTTGGTAGGCTGAGACACCAGGGTCTCAAGTTTGAAGTCAGCCTGGGCTACACAGGAATTTCATACTAACTTGGACTACATATTGAAACACTATCTTAAGAAAGAAAGAGAGGGGGGGAGGGAGAAAGGGAGAAACAAAGAAAAAGAAAGGAAAGAAAGAAAGAAAGAAAGATCAGTAAGATGGTTTAGTGTGTAGGCTGGAGAGATGGCTCAGAGGTTAAGAGCACTGACTGCTCTTCCAGAGGTCCTGAGTTCAATTCCCAGCAACCACATGGTGGCTCACAACCATCTATAATTGGATCTGATGCCTTCTTCTGGCATGCAGGCAAACGTGTGGACAGAGCACTCATACCTAAAAATAAATACATAAAATTTTACAAAAAGATTGTTCAGTGGGTAGAGGAGCTTACTGTGCAAGCCCAGAAGCCTGAATCTATGCAAAGGTAGATAACTCTACAGTTATCCTCTCCCCTCCACAAGTGCACCGTGGCATGCTCTCCCCACCCCCAAGCTCTCTCCCTTTATCCCTCCCCCCCACACACACATTTTAAAATACTTCCTAAAAACAAGGGAAGGGTTGGCCAGACCACCACTAGTATGCATGCCAGACCCTTTCTGGCAGATCTGAGCAGCCACTCTGGCAAGTTGGGCTTAGGAATTTCCTCACTGACACCCTTCCTGTGACACCAGCAGCTCAGAGCAGCTTTTAGAGGAATTTAATGTGGGTCTGCATCTCAGATCCCCATATTGTGTATGCCTGACCATACCACTTAAGAAGCTAGAACTGAATGTCTTTTTGTAAGAGAGGAGCTACACCATGAAAATGACAGTTTCTTACAGAAAGGACACCCCTCTGGAGAGGAGAGCCCTTATCTCTAAACAACAGGGATCCAGGAGTAGTAAACTGAGTGCCCTTATCTGGGAGAACATCTCCAGTTAACCCTATCTGCCAAGATCCAACATTCAGGGTCTTCCCCACCATGTCTGTTATGTCAGGTTTCCTTCCTTCCTTCCTTCCTGTCTTTCTTTTGTTCGTTTGTTCATCTGACCTTCCCTTCTTGTCTGTCTGTCTGTCTTTTGGTTTTTCAAGATAGGTTTTTTGTTTGTTTGTTTGTTTGTTTGACAGCCCTAGCTGTACTAGAACTCACTCTGTAGACCAGGCTGGCCTCAAACTCACAGAGATCCTCCTGCCTCTGCCTCCCGAGTGCTGTGATTAAAGGCATGCGCCACCACCGCCTAAGTCAGGATTTTCTAGGCTCCTGCACCCTGCTCAGAAGCAGCTGAAAGCCTGGCATGGGGCACTGCACGATAACCCAGCCCAGGAGCAACCAGACTGGGCTCTGGTTTGCCCATACCCTAGCCATGTAAACTGCAGACTCACTTACCTCTGCTCTCCTCTCTCCCAGGGTTCCTCCCACCTCTATTCTGTCTTGCTCACTGGCCTTCCTTGTTGGGGTACTCAGATCTCTCTTCCAACCAGAGAGAGGCAGTGGACACCTGTGTGCCTGCTGGGGAGGGCCGGCAGAGAACTGAACCCAAGCTCATACCACATTCTACTGCAAATGACTCCTTTAGAATGAAAGGCATGGGGGTGGTGGTGGTTTTTTTTTTTTTTTTAAGGCAACAAAAACCCCAATTCAAATTCCTAATAGGGTCTGAGTAGGCCAAAACTCCTGCCCAGAAAATGTGAGGCACAAATGAACTACAGAGGGGAAACTTTCTCTGCTCTCAGAAGCAGAGTTTGAAACAAGGAGTGTAACTCAGTGATAAAAATGCTTGCCTGGCATGCCACATGCCTGGGGTCGATCCTCAGCAGCTTAAAAGCAATTAGGAAGCAATGCTTGGCCTCAGGAGCAATTCACTGGGAAGAAGGCTGTGGCTACTGGAAAGGTGCTGGCTGGGAATCCAGAGCCCCGGGCTCTGCTCTCATTGTGCTTCCCATTTCCTTGTGCCTTCGGGTAAGGCCCTTGCCCTATCTAAGCCTAAGTGTTCTCATCTGGAAAATGAGAATTACCATCCTATGTGGGTGGAGTTGGTGCCAGATATGGGCCCTGATTAAACTATCCAGCCTCATACAAATGGCTTATCCCATCCCAGGGCTCTGATAGCAAAAGTGTCTAGGAGACCAGCTGCAAGACCCCACACTGGCCTGTGCCTAAATAAAATAGAGCTGCACAGCTATTAATGGCTCTCTCTCACAGTCACTTCCTTCTGGCAACCGCTCCATACCTAGTTGGATCATCTTGCAGCTGGCCCTTTAAGAAGGCTACTATTTTCCCACTCTCTCCTCCCACCTGCTTCTAGCTGTAGCCTTACAGCAAATGCTAAGCCAAAATTTCCTCCAGCATAGACAGACTTCACTGCCACCCCCACACCACCCCTCCACCCACTCTAGGTGGACTGGGAGAGGGGCCAGATCACATCGAGGGTATGGTAGGGGTGGGCAGGTGGCACTCTCAGGGCCCATGAGCCCCACATGGCTCTCCTGGGTACACCTGTCCTGGGGTGTTGCTAGCAGGCCTTCAAGAATATGCCAACTTTATAAAATTTCTGGAAAGCAAAAATTTTATCTTTTTATCTATTGCAAGTCTTCCCTGGCTGAGAGATGTGTGAGTGTGTCTGCAAAGAAGTCACAAGGCAGGTCCTGTACTCTAACATTTACAACAGAATTCTATGTCATGACTGGAGCTCTGCAGTAGAATTTTCTCATTTTTATGTCTGTCTGGTAATAAAGTTTCTATAAAGAAAAATGAAATTGTGTCAGAAGAGTCCTGAAGAGTGGCACATGCCTTGGATGACAGGCAAGGAGAGGGATGAGGACAAAAAGGTACAAGGAGTGGGGGTTGAGTCTGATCCTGATACTAGCAGCAACATGTTCCCATCATTCAACAGGCAGACCTTGCCATGCTACATCTTGCAAGAAAAATCTGGGCACTGGGTCTAATCCACTTCTCAGAGGAGGAGCCTAGAGATCTGTGACCTTGGCCAAGGTGTTACACCCAAGCTGGCACATGGCTGGACCTAGAACTCAAGACCCTGGCCTGTGAAGGGGGAGGGGGCACCCTTCCTAGTCCCCATGCCCAGTGCCCTTCTTTCAAGCCAACAGGACCAGGACCCTGGTTCTAATCCCAACTCTGCCTCCAACTTCCCACATAGTGGGGGCTTTCTGGGCCTTGATTTTCCTTCATCTGTCTGCAGAGCCGCCTTAACAGGGTAGATGAAAAGGATGTTAACAGTCCATAACCAGAGATTTGAGTCTTCTTTCTGACTGCAGCTCACTCAGAAAGTCCCTTCACCCCTCTGAGCTTCCATGTCTGTATCCTATAGAAGGGCTGGGGCTGGGGCTGGGGGGTGCCAACCAACTTTTAGTCTCATCTTGCCAGGGTTTCCAGAGGACATCATTTTGTTGTCCAGAACATACCCCTGCCCCAGTCTCCCACAGCCAGTCTTCCCTCACCTCGGAGCCATCGAAGAAGAAAGTAGTCATCTGGATTGGGCAGGGTGGGCAGCACATCCTGGACATTTTCTCGAAACTATAGGGAGAGATAGCTGAATGAGTGGGAGGTCCCCAACCTCACTCTTCCCAGAGTGCCCCTCCATTAGGGGGGTCTTTGCCAAAGCTCTCCTTTAACATATTGTTGTAGCCACTGACTAAGTGAAGTCATGGGCTGTGTTGCTAGGAGTACTTACTGGGTAGAAGATGAAGGCACAGAAAGGGACTTGGACACTGCCCTGCCTCACTGGTAAGTATATCTCCATACTCATCAGGTGGGCAAGTGGGTGTGTTCCCAGCAAACAGTGATAGACATCTGTCACTTTGGCCTGTATGCCTAGCACCTGTCCTCTGTATGGCACCATCCTGGGCCCTGTCTTCCATCTCACCCAGGGCCCCTAGAGGTGTCACTGTCACATTTACAGCTGAAGAGATGAAAGCACAAAGAGGCTCAGCAACACCCCCAACAGCTGTGATATGGATCTGAGTCCAGATCCCAGGCTCCTCCTCAGAAGTCTTTCCACCCCCTTGGTAATGGAACAGGAGCAGAGAGAAGGAAAAGGGTAGTATCTAATGACTACATTCAAAAATGGTAGTTGAGCTGAGTTTGAAAGACTATAAAAGCAGTAGAGGGAAGGAGATGGACAACCCAGATGGAGGGAACAACTCCAGCAGGTAGCCACAAAAGGGAACAGTACTACGAGAGCCACCAAATGAAGTGGACAGTGACCCCAAGGGGCAGCCACACCTAACTCCAGTCTCTCACTGCCCAGTAGCGAGCAGGTCCCCTGCTGCTCTCCCTAAGCCTCCCCCATCGGTGACCTTTACCTGGTCACTGACTTATAGGACTCCCCCAGAGGGGACCAATGAGGATTGGCCACCTCTGCCCTTTGCCTTAGGTCAGCTAGGTCTGGCCAGACCCTCCCATCCCCCCAAAGCAGCTCCTAACATTAGGACAATGGTCATCTAAACAGCAAGAGGAGCCACCCTCACCAGGTACCCTACCTAGCCCCTGGCTTAATCACCACCAGACTCCCCTGCAGGTCAGCAGTACTCCCACATCTGCTGCTGTGCTCTAGAATAAATAATGAAACTGCCGGGCCGTGAAGCCTCCAAACATTGGGGCTGGACCCCAGCAATTCTTATCCAGTGCAGCTGAGGAGATTAAGTCTTTCCGGCAGAAGGGCCAGCCCTGAACTTCAATGGAACAGATAGGTCCCTCTCTGCCCAGGTGTCAAGACAAAGCCTGATCATGTCTTTCCTTCTGAGTGGCATCACTAAGTCCCTTGCCCAGCAAGGGTCTGGGTCTCCAGAGGGAGGAGGGCTCTTCTCTCCGAAAGGAGCCCAACCTAGTTAGTCCTAGCATCTTAGACTTCACACACAGGTGCCTCGCGGCTCAACCTCTTCTAATTTCATCAAAGAGCACACAGGACAGGGCTTGGCCCAAGGTCGCACAGTGACTGGGTGCCTTGTAAGGGCTGTGGGGAGTTTGCCAAGGAGCTGTCCAGGACCCTTCCATATGCCACTGCCCCCGCATGAGGAAAACCTCCCGGAAATGGGAGGAAACCTGGGGCTCTGCCCCTGTCCCACGGCCCTGCTGCCAGTCCCTGCCAGCCCCGAAGATGAATGTTGCCTTTGTGCCCTCAGCTGCTTCTGAGGGCTTCCAAGCAACCACTTCTTCCCAGGGGGCACCGCTGGGGTTGCTCATGCTGGAGACCGCTATGACCAAACTTCCCGAGGTCCTCACTGAGCGAAAAGCGGTCCGCTGGGTACTGGCCAAGCGGGGGCGACTGACCGCCTCTCCCTCGGTCACTCGCCCGCGGGGACGACCCTCGCAGCCGCTTCCAGCTGGAGGGCGAGGACCACAGCTGGGCCGGGATCAGGCTCACCTTGGCCAATGCCTCCTCCTGTTTGGGGCTCAGGTCACCGACTCTGCCGCTCATCGTGTCTCAGCTTCGGGGCGCGGCGCCTGGAGCAGTTGATGGAGCTCTGACTCGTTTGCCGCCGCAGCCGCTGGAGTAAAGTCCCAGCCTTTGGCCGAGGCCCCGGGGCTGGCGGCCAAGACCCGCCTCTTAAAGGAGCCCGAGAGGCGGGACGAGACGCACAGAGGCCCTGGAGGTGAGCCAAGATGCCTGCCTACTCAGACACCTGAGCTACTTGGGTCTACTCCTCATCCTAACCAAAAGGAGGCTGAAAAGAGCTGGCTGATGACTTCTTCTAAGGAGCAACTCCACAGGGCTGGACCGGGCTGATTTTTCACCGCTTTCCTTACCCCAAAATGTTGACAGCTCTCCTTGTGCCCACCGGGAAGTGGCACCCCCCACTGCCCGTCCTTTTGCTTCTAGGAACTGTGGTGGTGTTGACTCTGCCATCACTTATGATCACTACAACCAGTCCAGCTTGGGGGTCGTTCAGAGTTGCACCCAAGGTTGCCGATGTAACCCAGTTGGTGGTAGAGGACTTGCCTAGCATGCACAACCTTGAGTTGGATCCCCAGCACTACGTGGTCATCATGGAACATTTCCACACATAATCTGTAATCCAAGCATTGGGGAGGTGGAGGCTGGAGAATCAGAAGTTCAAGATCACGCTTAGTTACTGATTGAGTTTGAGGCTGGCCTGGAATTCAAACAAACAAACCAGAGTTGGTACCCTTTTTCCTCTACCTGCAAAATAAATAGGTGAAGAACACAGTGTCTGACTAAGGGGCAAGGAAAAACACCCTCCCTGCCTAAGACCCAGTTCTCTGCATCTGACCTTCCCTGCACTCTGGGAGCCACTCCCAAAGCTCTTGTCTCAGCTGGTGTGCTCTGCTTCCTCTCTGGAGGCTTGCGTCTGAGTGTCTATGTCCCACAACTTCCTACAAGTCCCTTTGTCTCTCTGCATTGTTGCTCCTTCACTAACTGGGGGTGATTTGGGGCTCATAAGTCAGCAGGAGGCTAAAAAGAATTAATGTACATAATTCTCAGGCTTGACTTCCCGTGACCACTTCCCAGCAGGCCTTGCACAGTCGTCCTTTGCTGGCTGCCTCATCAAATCTCAGCCATAGGCTAGACAAAGAGGAAACCATGGAAGCCAAGACCCACAGCTCTACTGTGGCTTACCTGCTTCCTAGCTCTGGCCAAGGGCCTGTGGGCTCCCCGCTAGTGACAAATCGACTTGTTGGAGGACTCTGGCAGCTGCAGCCTAGCAGCTTCATGTCCAGCCTGTTCCATTAGACTGCCCTCACCCCTGCTACTGCCTCTGCCCTACCCAATAAAGCAATTTCCTCTTTGCAGAATCCAACAGCCCCTCCTTCTGCTGGAGCCCCCTGCCACTTTGGTCTTATTTCCATGAACCTGGCACCTGGTCACAAGTCCAGGGTCACTTTTTCTTCCTACTGTATGCCAAGCAGTAGGCATTGTTCTGGAACCCAGCAATGTTCACACACCATCCTTTGGTCCCAAACATACTAAAAAGAACACAAAAGCAAGGCAGAGGTCAAGGAGAGGAATCATACAGTAGGAGATTAGAAAGAACAACATTTGCTTTGGATAAAGAGACCCTAGAAGGCTCCATGGAGAGAGTAGAATCTGACCTGAACCTTAAGATGTGGGGTACATGGAAGAAGGACCTCTAAACCTATATCAGTACAATGTCATGAGCTAAGTTCTGGTGGTAGGCTATAACCAGAGATGCAGAGGCAGAGGGGGGAAGGCGGAGTGCTTAAAAACCTTGGTGTGATCTTGCTTAGCAACATCTACCTTCTAGGCTACACTACCTTGCTTCAATTACCAGAGTCCCCACAAATCCTGCATCCCCCAGCAGAGGCTCCTGTAGACAAGGATGGGGTGTGGTGGCATATATAGCCAACACAACATTCAGAGCTGAGGCCAGAGGATCACAAATTTAAGGCCAGCCTGGGCTCAAGAAAATGACAAAAACTGGAATGGAGAGAAGGGAAAAGAAGGAGAAGAGAAGATGTGGTGGGCTTCAAACCAAAGCTCAGTGCTGAGGGGTGGCCTGAAAGGAAGGTGAAACAAGCAGCGTCCCACAGAGTTCATGTGGCCTCACTTAACAGCGGGGAAAACTGAGGCTCAAAGAGGCCATGTCTTGCCCTAAGTCACTAAGAGCACAGCAGATGTAGAGTGCCCAGTGGCTGGTCAGTGGAAAGCTGTCATCTGAACCCACTCCTTCCTGCCTGGCATGGGTGCAGAAGTAGCCATCAGCTACCTCAAATCCAGGTCTCCAGGACTGCAGGAAACAGAATGTCCCTCATGCCTCTCCTCACCCAGAGTCACGGCCGGTGGCAGCAGGCCTGTCCATGGTATAGGAAAGGACTTTGCTGTGCCTCCCCATGCTGAAGGGTGGACTGAGGGGCAGCCAGTGCCTGGCAGGCTCCCAGCCTGACCTCACCAGGTGTCCCTGCCCTAGTTATGGGCTTCTTGGCTTCTGATTAAGCACAGGACAGAGCTGCCTCCTTCACTGGTTGTGAGGCCTTTTAAGAGCTCTAAGAGCCTCCCAGGGGCAGTTTGCTCTTTATTGGGAAGAGCCTACTAAAGGAAAGGAGAGCAGTCCCTTCTGGTGGCGCAACCCCTTACAGATGTCTTCTCTTAGAAGCCCTGGCCAGTCCTCTAGAGTGGCAAGTTACCTGATGTGTGGAGGAGCCTGATGAAAGAGTGGAACAGTTACAGAAGATCGCTTTCAGTAAAGACAAACCTGGCTGTGCCTTCTCCTGCAGGCCCACTCAGAAAACCACAATGGACATGTTTATCCCTAAGGATGAATTCCCTGGAGTCGCTCTCCAAGCCCAAAAATATCTGAGCAAAGAATTCTCCCTCTTGTCTACCTCTTTTCAGTTCTCTGCTTCCACTGCGATTTACTGTGTCCTGTTAACCAGGGAAGCCACTGGTTAATCTGATAATATAAATCCTACATAAATAGTCTGGTAAACTCCTCAGGGCTGCTTCCTGAGATTGTTCTTCGGGCTCTTACCTTTCCTCTACTTCCCATCCCCTGCCCTACAGTTCTCCCGCCATGCAAGGTATATTGCTTCCCTCTGCTCAAGAGCCATCACTGGCTCCCTAGTTCCTTCAGAAGTCACCCCAATCCCATTGACTTGCTTCAAGTCTACTCCAGCTCTTCCCAGCATCCCTTGTGGCCTCAACTGTCAAAGTCCCCCTTTCTGTACACGTCCTTATCGGTCAAAGATGTTCTCGGCTGTTTCCTAACCACACTTCTACCCACTGCCTCTGTCAGAGTTATTTTCTCTCATTTCTTCCAGCTAGCTCCTCCTTGGTCCTCAAAGCCCTGACCCAAAGCTGTTTCCAGAAACTTCTCCCTTATCTGCGCATTGAAATGTGACCTCTGCCAACCAGAAGCTCTTTTCTCCTGACTTTAACAAGGGCTCTTCTGTATTGTGACTGTCACCTGGACTGACAGGAAGGACCTGGCCTCCAGGGTCAGACAGCCTGGAGGTGAGCTTTGGGAACATGAGTGTGCATGGCTCTGAGTGCTCCTTGCTGGGACCTGAGGCAATGTGGACTCCTAAAAGAGGAGCTTGGAGTTTTAATTTTGGAAGTGAGGGCATTGGAGTTTAGGGAGCAAGGGAGCAAGGCTCCCTCTTCTAGGGAGCAAGCATCTCTGGGCATAGGAAGAGTTCTGGACTGGGAGTCCTAAGTGGCAGCCTTGCTCTGTGTCCCAGAACTAATTTGTTATAGGGGCTATGAAGTACCATGTGAATAGGGGTGGGAGTGAGAGTGGGGCGCCCTGTTCCCTTCTCGGCTGCTTGCTTGTGCCTCCAGGGCCTCCATGGCTTCCTCCTCAAATGGAGAACACTGGCCTCAGAATCAAAGTCCCTCCCCCAGTGCCCTGACCTCAGATCTCCTGATGCCCATAGCAGGCAAAGTGGCACAAAGATTGACACAGCAACTTGGAGTCAGAAACACAGTCCGGCCTTTTAAACCCTTCAACAAATATTTGTGGAACACTCCACTTCTACAACACTAGGGCCATTCTAGAAAGCCCTGGAACTCAGAGGGCAGCCCCATAGGAAGGTCCCCTCCTCTTCACCTTGCCTTGTGAGGCTGCAACTGCCTCAGGTTACTTCTCTTCTCTGAGTGCCAGGAGCCTGGAGTGAAAACTAATCCTTTGCCTTTCTCCCTGGGGCCACTATGATGATTCCGAGTGACATAGTGGCTGGGAAAGCAGTGGATGCCCAGGGTGAGGGCTTGTTATTATTGCTACCATAGGGTATTTGTGAGGACGCGAGAGAAAATGAGAACCCAAGTCCATCCTTCTCCCTCCCCCAGAGCCCCACTTCCTCCTTGCTTCCACACTCCACCTGGCTTTGTCAAAAGATACAAATCCTCTCCCAGCCCCACTTCCCACACCTGAACCCACCAGATTAAGTCTTTTACCTTCCCGGGTATCACTGTCTAATCCCTAAGTCCTTTCTCACCAGTCTCCAGTCATCTCAGGGAAAATCAAATCCCTTTAGAATGAGGTGGCCCAGTTAGTTGAAAAGGGAGAGGCTGGGGGCAGGGAGCTGGGACCTCTGGAATACCTCAGAGGAGACTGGAGGACTAGAAGGGTCTCAAGGGCTTTACTTCAATTCTGGCACTAGCTGGTAAGAGGCGGGAGACTTCCCTGGGGGAAGGTGGGCCACCACTTCTGCTCCTACTCTGTATCTAAGATGGAGGCCAGATCATACTAGTCCACAGTAGGGACTAGGGAAACAGAATGGTGGCCCACCCACTCAGAGCTAGAACACCTGGTTCTGTCACCTAACAAAGTTAGCTGTTACTATCCTCAGTGTCCTATGGAGAAAATGCCATGACAATCTTACTACCTCGTCGGCTGGTGTGAAGTTAAATGAACTAGTTTCTCAAAAGTACCTAGAACCTAGAGAAGCAGTGGCTTTGTCTGCATGCACTTCCTGTTTCCTGCCCCAGACATTCTGTAGGCACTTCCCACACTGTCTGGGAGAGCCTTTATAGCTCCTGTCTTGAGACTGAAGTAACCCCTGACCCCCACGCCTGTCTCATTCTGTTTTA